AGCGCAGAAGTAGGAAGGAAGAAAGTCCTTCCTCTTTGAGAAAAAACATGTTTAAAAAGAGGAACAATGAGAATTGGACCTTGTCACAAGCCTTTCATGAGCTAGGAGTTCTCATACACCGTCCACGGGACTTTCTGCCCATCTTACAGATGTTGACACTGAGGCTGGGAGGGGTGACTTGCTCAAGGCCTTACAGCAGGGGAGGCGTGGTCGCTTTTTCCGTGGAGGTGTGACTTCACAGAACCCCGGTGATAGAGGGGGGTGGCGGGCTCTGAGCAGGCGCTGCCGGGCTGCAGGCATGCCTTTAGCTAGCCTTGTCCCCTGGCCTGGCTCTCCAGTTTCTACAGCGTGAGGGAGGGAAGGGCTGCTCTGTTTGCTTCTCACAGCCAGTGAGAGGAGGGCAGCTTGAAGAGTTCTTAGAGTTTAAAAGAGGAAGTTTGAGGAAATGGAAACCAAGCCTTTCTTTTTTTCTCGGGTCTCTTTTTTTGTGGCCTCCAGAAATAATCCTGCGTTTTGCAGCCTCTCTCAGGATTACGGTTCACCCCACCCCACCCCCACTTCCGGCAAACCAGGCAGTGGGCTGGGGAAACTGACTGGTAGAGAAGAGTGACAGGCTTGCGGCTGGTGAGTCAGTGCCAGGAGGCAGTTGCCTGCTGACTCACCCACCCTGGGCATGAAAACGGGTCCCTGAGTCCCTCTCCCCCACCCCCCCCCGCCCCCGCCCCCACCGGTATCATGGCGGCCCTCCTCCTCCAGCTAAGCTTTGGTTACGGCCTATGCTGGAACTCTATTGAGTCCCCACAGACAGAATCTGAGACTGGACTGATCTCTGTGCTGGAGCCCCACCTTCCTCCAGCCAGCCAGGCTCCTGGGCCCAGCCCCATGGGTGTCATAGTTCCTCTTCTTGAAGCCTCATTCGCCCTTGACCAGACATTGTCACTCTCTGTCTCCCTGAACTTGTAGAATAATTTTGTTTTAACACAGCAAAGCCCCTCCCACCAATCTATGGACCCCGCACCTGAAGGTCAGGAAGGTGACCCTGTACCCCAGTGGTGGCCCTGGGCCAGTGTGTAGCAGTGCTCAGTCAGCGCAGGAGAGGTGGGCTTTTCCTCTCAGCAGTCCCTGCACAGCAGGGAAGTGACTTGTCCCGAGACAGGGCTGCACTGAAGCCGGCGCTGTTCTTTCCAAAGCCCTGGCTTCTCCCAAGAGAGGCGAGGGCTCCAGCTCGAGGCGCAGGAGCGCGTCCTCCTCTCTGTCCCTGGGGTTAGGGCCCTTGCCAAGGGGAGGGAGTTTGAGCCACCACCCTTGACTGGTCCCTCTGGAACCAAAGGGCAGCTACCTTTAGCCCATCCCATGGGTTTTTGATTTAAGATGAGAAAGCCAGGTGCCTCTCGGGTATTGGTATGAGGGCTTGGGTTGGACAAGCCCCTGGGCAAGTGGCTCCACCTCTCTGGGTTTCATGACCCCATCCAGGCAGGTACAGGGCCTTCCTGGCCGGTCCTCGAGGAGCTGCTGCCTGGGACCTTCCCTCCTCAGAGGACCTGGCCAGCCTGGTCCCTATTCCGTCACCTACACCTGATCCCCCTTGGTTGTCTTACATGCTGATCCCTGTCCCAAATATTTATTCTCTCATGTGTTTCATGTCTGTCTGGGAGACCTGTCTGGAATGCCAGCTCCTCAGGTCCCCCCTACAGCCCATCCCTATGCCTGCAGTGCCAGGCACCCAGTAGGGTAGGTTGTCAGTAAATATTTATCTAACTGTCACTGCTGCCAAAACTACCTGTGCTGTTTTACCCCTGGACATCCACGATGCAAAAGGGGAGTACTTGTCCGGCCTGACCCAACGAGCCGGAAGTTGACCCAATTCCTGACTCCCAGCCCACTGCCCTTTCCCCTGACTCGGCGGTCTGGTTGGCCAGTCCTGGGCAAAACAGTCCTTGTCTGTTTTAGACAAGGCATGTGCTCAACTTACCTTCACCTCAGGAGCAGTGCCTTCCCAAGGCCCCATTCTGCCACAGACCTGGCTGCTAGGCCTCTCCTGCCCCAGCCCCCACATCTGCAGGTTCTCCTTTGTTTCATCTCTCCTGGCCCCTTGTGACTCTCTGGGCTTTGGCTCAGGGTCTGCCACCTCCAAGGAGATAAGAAAAATATTCAGACCCAGCCAGTTGAGATTTTTTACCTGTAGACACTTTCATGGGGGGGAGGAGGACCAGGTAGTTGTACGTTGCTCCAGAGGCAAGTTCTTTGCAAAACCTGTTCACCTTTATCCACCTTTTCCTCTGCAAACCATTGACCAAAGTCCAACCTACTCTGGTCGACCGCTATCCAGAGATCTCCTCACCTCTTGCTACCAAGAGCGTGTAGTCAGGATGTGGGTACAGAGCCAGATGCTCCTCTCTCTGCCTTCAGCTTTGTGATCTGTGTACTGGGATCCTTGGGGAGAGATCAAGGGCATGAACCAGGCAGGTGCCCTCAGCAGAGGTGGGGTGTCTCTGAGAATAGACCTCCAGCTTTTGTGGGGTGCAGTTTATTATTATTTTTTTAAATTTTCTGAAGGAGTTTATGTCAAATTATTCTTTTTTTTAAAATAAATTCTATTTTTATACTCCCCTACAATTGCAACCCCCTTATTTTGACCCCTATCCCTCCGCTCCCCGCCCCCCACCCCCCATAGAGTGTTTCTGGTTCATAGTTTTTTGATTTTGATTTTCACTTTCTTATAGTTATTCATTTTCCTGGTCCCTTATTTAAGTTTTCTAGATCCCTGCTATGAGTGAGACCATCCGGTATTTTTCCTTTTCTTTTTGGCTTATTTCGCTGAGCATGATCCCTTCCAGCGCCATCCATGTTGCTGCAAATTGCATGTGTTTATCTTTTTTGAATGCTGAGTAATATTCCATGGTGTATATGTACCACATCTTCTTGATCCAGTCATCTATTTTTGGGCATTTGAGTTGTTTCCAAAGCTTAGCTATTGTAAACAGTGCTGCTATAAACATAGGGGTGCAGGTGCTCTTTGGAATGGATGTTTCTGTGTCCTTTGGGTAAATACCTAGGAGTGGAATTGCTGGATCCTATGGAAGCTCTATGTTTAGTAGGTCCAGAAATCTCCACACAGCTCTCCATAGTGGTTGGACCAGTTTGCACTCCCACCAACAGTGCAGGAGAGTTCCTTTTTCTCCACATCCTCGCCAACATTTGTTGTTGCTAGTTTTTTTAATATGTGCCATTCTCACTGGTGTAAGATGGTATCTCATGGTAGTTTTGATTTGCATTTCTGTGGGGTGCAGTTTAGATCAGGCTGGGGGGCCACGACCGTGGACACTGAGCCCCGGCTTCAGTGATGACCAGCTACCTCGAGTCGTCATGCTGAAAACAGTTCCCTCTAACAGAATTCACTTTCACTAGGGCCAGAATATTGTTGCTCATTGTTTGACTCTATTCCGAGCGAAACAATGCAGGCTTCCTGGATGACCTCACTGGGCTGAGCTGAGCCATTGGGCCTGTGAGGCCAACCTGGTCAGCACCTCCAGATCAGCCTGGCCTGCCCTCTGCTGCAGCTGCCATGGGTGTCCTGGGCAGCAGAGTGTCCAAAGAGGGTGTGGGATTTGCTTCCAGCCCACGCCGCATTTCAGAACTGGGGAGTATACACTACCCCTCATCTCAGCAGCTCCCCAGAGATGGAGGATGGGGCCCCAGTGGTCCCGGTGACAAAGGCACCGGGAGCCGAGGACAGCTGCCATCTGCCACTTCAGTCTCTGTCCCTCCCTGTTGTCTCCCCACCATCCTGAGTCCTTTGTGGGCCGCGTTCCTGGAGACCCTTGAGCTCATCACACTTGAGTTAACCATTCCTCAGGACTGGATAACCAAGACAGAAGCCTGCAGGCCACACGAGTCAAAGGATTATGTCTCATAAAGGTGTACCTTTTTAATGGGAAAGAAAAAAACCCTTCTTTGATTAATTTCTACTTTTCAAGAACAGCTGCCCTAGGTAGAGAGGGAGATAGTACTCTTGCCCACCCTGCCCCCACCCTTTTTGGGGGCTTAATTGTTAATTGTTAGTGGCCTCCTAGGGCCCACATAGTGGGGGGCGAGCATGCCTGTGCGGACATCATTGCCACTCACTGAGCCCAGCCTTGCCTGGAATCTGTGGAGATGGAGCCCCTGGGCCTCCTGGAGCTATGGGAGCAGCCTGGATGCCTCCCTGTTTGCTGAAGGAAGTTCGCGCATAGCAACATGGTCCACTCCCATGTCCTTACTTGGTGGCCAGTCCACCCACACAGCCCTGGGCTCTGCCTGCTCCCTAGGAGCCCCTTCTCTATTGCGTGACCCCTCACTTTCCTGTTCACCCTTGCTTAGTTCCCTAATTTGTCAGTCCCTAGGCCAGTGACTTAAAGGCACCAGACCCCATTTTACTTGGTGACCACATTATGAAAGCAAGTGATTCAAAGCAGCTGCTTCGCTGAGAACATGGGGTTTAGAGGCTGAAACAGACCTGGGAGCCATTCAAAGCTCAAGAGGCTTCAACTTGCTCTGTGACTCTGGGCAAGTGACTGCACCTCTCTGGGCCATTGTCTCAGCCGGGTTGGTGACTACACCCATGCTAGGAGTTAACTAAGACCAGGCCTGCAAAGCAGTTTGCACAATGCTGAATGAATGTGCATGAGGTCGGCGCTCAATAAATGCGGCGTACTTTCTTTTCCTCTTTTTTTTTTTAAAAGATTTATTTACTTATTTATGCATACAAGAACTGGGGTATAGGCCACAGACAGAGTGGGGAGCAGAACGGGCAGATCTACTGAAATACGCTGCTGAGGGGAGCAGCGGAAGAGACAGGAGAGGTCTACTGTGCCATGTCGGTGTTGTAATGGCTGGAGATAGCCTGGTAACGCTGTGTCTTTAACCCCTGTGCCAACAGGGAGGCCCTTTTCCTCTTTTAAACACTTGGGAGACAATGCCTGCCACACAGTGAAATAAAAGACTAATGTGGGCAACGATTTTCTTCGATTATGGCTAATATCTATTAATCACTATGTACCAGGCTCTATGTCAAACATTTACAGGCAATTTAATCTCAGGATGAGTTTTACTTTTACCCCATTTTGTTTTAACCATTGAGGAGATGCACAGAGAGGTTGCTACTTGTTCTGGGTCACACAGCTTCGTCGTGGCCTCAGTAGACCCAGAACACTGGCTCTGGAGCAGATGGGAAACAAGGCAGGTAAAGAAGAGGCTAGACCCCCGCTCTAGAAGGACAGTAAGGGGTCCAGGCCAATACTTGATGCCGCAGCAGGCCCACCAGGTGGTGGGGAGCCTTTAGGTTTCCTCACCTATAATATGGGTCAGTCATCCAGGTCTCCTTTCCAGTTCTTGGGTTTGGGAGCTGCTTGCCCAACCCCGAGGGGTGCTGAGAAACAGTAACTTCTGTCAGGCCCAGGAATTGAGGTTAGCAGTTTTCCAAGGAGAAACAAAGAAGTCCCTCCCTCTTACTTCTAAAAATGTTAGGAACTCACAGTGGCTAAGTCAGCAGCAGTGCGAGGTTGAAACCATTGTTCTCTACCTCGGACAGCCCTGTGAGAAACTGTGTACTTGAGAGGGTTCAGGTTCTGCAGGGGAGGGTGTAGCAGTGAACCCCCAGCTCCTGGAAAAAGAGTCAAGAGCTTGGTTCTCCAAAGCGTGGATGAGGAGGAAGGGCTGTTGTGGCAGCCTCTGCAGCTCAGTTCAAGACCCAGTGGGCTGATGTGTGGGCACCTGGGCCCAAGAAGGGGTGGAGGTCGCAGGGCACAACAGGACTCCTGGCCCTGGCCCTGCTCTGCCACTGGCTCTGCAGCTCCACTTGCCTTTGCTCCCTGGCACATCACCGAAGCCTCCCATCCATGCTTGGCTCCGGTGCCTGAGCTGGGGGTTCTGACTCCTGTCTCCTCCCCCACCGTCCCTCATTTTCCTGCTTGAACTCGGTTTCTTTCATCTATAAAATGGCATGAAAAGTCCCTTCCACAATTAGAGTGTTGGAGGAACAATACAAAGCTTTATACACAGCTGAGTACAGAGTAAGTCCTCAAGTACCTGGTAATTTTAAACGGGGGGTGGGGGGTAGTATGGGGAGGGGGAGGAGAGAAAAGAAGCATCTTATAAATCCGCACCATCGCCAGCGCGAGGCTGAATCTGTCCGCAGCTGTGTCAAAGCCAACCAGGTGAAGTGCGAGCCCGTCTCAGCGGGTTCTGGCCTTGACTGCTGGAGCAGAGACAGGCGAGTTTCAGCTGGGCAAGAAGGGAGCCTTCCTCTCGAGCTGCTGCATGAGCGCCGATGCTAATCACTCGTAGCTGTAATAACCAAAGAGGAAGCTCTTAAAATGGGGAATTATGTATCATGGTCGGCACAAAATAGCCCTGGGCTGGGCGCCAAGGAAAACAGCTCAGGGAGACGGCAGGACAGCGGCTGCTGGAAGGCCCGAGGAGGGCCTTGTTCCTAAGCACTTAGCGCACTGTGGGGCAGCCTGTCGGGGCGGCTGGTGAGAATTGATGGGCCTGCTCTCCCGTCTGCAGAGATGGACAGAAGGGCTCCAGGGGAGGTGTCCACTGAGATCAGGCTGGGCTGGCAGAGGGACAGTGGAGGCAGGACCGAGGATTTGGGTTTGGCAAGGTTGCTGTCACTACCAGCTATATGCCCCGGGAGTGCCGCTTGGCTTCTCTGCACTGCTCAGGGTCAAGGTGGATTCCATTACAGCTGTCGCAGTAACAGCGGAAGCTACATTCCAGATTCTGTTCTAAGCACTTTCGTATCCCGTCACCCCGTTCCGTGGGGGGAACCACATCCCTATGAGGTGGTACAGTTTGGTTTATTTTACAGATGAAGACACTGAGGACCAGAGAGGCTGAAACTTGCCTGAGATCATCCATCCAAAATCATGGCTTCTCGGGCAGGTCTCGGCAATTTCTTGCAAGGGTCCAGGCTGCCACCAGAGGGCCAGGCACAGCCTTTTCAGGGTACCCAAGCCCCAGAAGTGGGACAAACAAGAGCAGTTCTGTAGGGACTGTACTCCAAGGGGAAGGAGTCCACGCTGGGACCCAGTGGACCTTGGTGAGGAACATGAGTTTCCATCTTGGGGGTGATAGAACATTTGATCTGAACATTTGATCTGAACGTGCTCTTTATAAGTTGCTTTCAGCTGCAGTGTTGAGAATAGATTTGGGGGGGAGGGGTGGGCCGAGTAGCAGCAGGGAGACCCAGGAGGAGGCTGCCATGGATGCCCATGTGAGGGCTGTCGGGGCCTGGAGCACGGTGGTTGCCATGGTGACAGAGCTGTGGGTGGATGCCAGGAATGTACAGGAGGCAGAATCCCAGGGTCCTGCTGCAAGTGGGCTTTTACAGGCACCTGACTCGTCATACACTCCATAAGGGCTGGGATTGAGCCCCTGAGAAGGAGGTGGGGCTCTTGCACCAGTCTGACCTCATGCAAGTGTGAGTGCATCTTGGGTGGGGCCGTAGCTGATGGTTGGAGGGAGCCAGGGGCAAGGGCACTAACTTAAAGAGCAGGTGGGCCTGGGCTGGCAGCACCTACAGATGAGACAGGTCTGGTGCCAGAGGAGCACCTCCTGCTGCACTTGAGGAGACGCCCATGATGCCAGGGTCTCGTTGGGAACCAGAGCCTGGAGCCAAGGGTCTCAGGGAATTTGTTGCTACCTGGTCCATCCCCAGTGTTTCCAGTGGACCTGGGGATCCAAAGGGCAGAGCCAAGGCTCTTTAGGGAAGACGACAGGGAGCTCACCCCAGGCCCTAGAGGGGAAGAGCTTTCTCCAGTGCCAGTGCCCGCGTGAGCAGTAGCTGGCCACCTCCCCACTCTGGCCAACTGCCCCCCTCCCCCCCGTGCCTTCCAGTCCCAAGATCCTGAGACCCAAGGAACCCCCCAAAAGGCGGAACCGCCCCTCCTTGGTGAGGAGGCACAGGGGTCATTCCCTGAAAAACAGCTCCACTCGGAGGGAGTCGAGTCCCACATCCTCCAATTATGCTCCCATCCAGCCGGCCCACAATGGGCCGCTCAGATAACCATCGGGGGCTGCACAAATGAGTGCTGGAACAATGCTGGCTGCGTGGGCTATTTTTACAGTAGCCATACGCCTGGCCGGACCCCCGTGTCGCCCCCAGGGAGTGGGGCAAAGAAAGGCCTTGCGGATGCCGCCGCCGGTCTGCACTCCGGGAGACAGAGGAAGGGCTCCCGAGCCGCCCGTCGGCTCCAGGAAGCCTTTTCTTGGTCTGCTCACCGCCAGATAGCAAAACAATTGGGGTCCCCCACCCCGAGGCAGGGAGAGGAAGGAGGTGTGAGGACAAGGGGGGTTCTTTTGTGCCTCTGCTCCTCAGAGCACAGCCCCTGCTGGGGTCAGACCTGCCCCCACCTCACCTTAGACAGCCACAACTCACCCCTGTCCCTTGGCTGGGAAGTGGCAGAAGCAGGTCTGCACTTAGCATCAGCTGCTTGCACACGCGTTCTGGCAAACACTTCCAAAGTTCTAAGGACCTACTGTGCACCAGTACACAGCAGTGGCTAAGACGGGTCCTGTCCCTTGTCCGTGTCTGTGCCAGTGGAAGAGGAGACTGTTAACTGGAATCAAGGACATGAACAGACCTCAGATGGTGCTGCAGCACCCTGGCAGGACCAACGCTGCCTTCCTTATTCCTTTGCCTTTATCTATTCTTGACACAGGAATGAGGCCCTCCTGGAGACCTGCAGCTGGCGCAGGCATGGCTGGGTGGGAGCCATTGTTTTCCATGCAAATCTGAAATTTGGGGCGAGTGTCTGTTCATTTCTAGAAGCTTTGGAAGGTGCCTTAGAACTGCCAAGTTGAGGGGGGGTTGTATTTTGTGAGATGATGCCTGGTCTGAGATGGCTTCATACTTACCTGCCTTTGGGTGCCCATGAAGCCTCAGTCACCCAGCCGGCGCTTCTGTTCTGCAGGTACCCGGGGACATGGACGCTGTCCACTTTTGAATCTTACGGTTCCCGATCACCTAAAGGGGGGCTGAGTCACTCAGGATGTTGTCAGGGCAGTGGACAGAAGTGGGGATCGCAGGCCCCTGCCACATACCCGGGCAGGTCAGCGCCGGCCGGCGTGAGAGGGAGAGGTGGCGCCGAGACACGCGGCTGTCGGCTGCCCGCCCATCTGGCTGTCTTCTCCCCACAGAGATCCAGGAAGAGATGGCCACCAAGGAGAAGCTGCAGTGTCTGAAAGACTTCCACAAGGACATCTTGAAGCCCTCCCCAGGGAAGAGCCCGGGTACGCGGCCCGAGGACGAGGCGGAGGGCAAGCCCCCACAGAGGGAGAAGTGGGCCAGCAAGATCGACTTCGTGCTCTCCGTGGCTGGCGGCTTCGTGGGCTTGGGCAATGTCTGGCGTTTCCCGTACCTCTGCTACAAAAATGGTGGAGGTGAGCCTGGGAGGGGCAGATGGGTATGTGTGGGGGTGGGCAGAGCGTTGGTCCTCTCCAGGGCACCCCTTCACCCCCGCCTTGACTTCCCACCATTAAGCCTGTGCATCCCAGCCCCACCCACCTCAGAAACCAGACGGAAGCACGGCAGGTGGTGTCCCTCAGGGCTTTACCGTGCGCCTTTGAGCAGACCCCTTACCCTCTCTGATCATCCGCTTTGCCTTTTCTGAAGAGGGGTGTCGAGGCCAGGCCCATGCCTGCCAGACCCCAGCCCACCGCAGGTCCCCTCATCTACGTGTCTCCGCCTGGCAGTATGCGCGTGCACACTCCTAAGGCTCCTCGCGGAGCAGCAAGGGCAGGAGGACAGGCAGGCAGGGGGGCTCACCTGCGGCTGCCCAGGGTCGAAGGCGTGTCTGTCAGCGGACATGGGCAAACGCGGTGCCAGCCACGTTAGGACACACTAATGTGGGGGGTTCTGCCATCGACTCGGCTTCTTAATTGCCGGTGGGGCCAGGCAGCTTTGGGACTTTGCACGCCTAGACACTCCTCCAAACAAAGCACATGGCCCAAGTCACCCACAGTTTCAAAGGATTTCTTGAGCTTAGTGGACAACTATTAGGAACCCTTACCCTCACTCTGCCCTGTATTCCTTGGCTCCCACCCTCTCTACACTCCTGTACCCATCCATCCTAGCTAGTTTTGAGCTTCCTGCATTGGGCAGGTGAAGGTGAAGGGTAGGTGAAGTCTCAGCAAGGAGGTTGTATTTGAAATGCGGCTTAAGCTCTGACTGGTGCTGACTCAGGGTGGATGTGAGAAAGCAGGCAGGCAGGCAGGCATGCGGTGTAAGCAAAGGCTTAGGTTGAAAGCACCTCGTAGATTTCAAGGTGAGGGCACACTGGCGATCGGATGCCTGCTGCACAGGTGAGCTGGTCTGGAGGATTTTCAACCTGGTCTAAGAGTTTGGCATTTATTCCTCACCATGCCCCCCTCATTCTCTGATTCCATCAGTCAGCAGCCCGGGAGCTGGTGCCGCAGTCGCTGAGAGCTGCAGCCTGACCCTCACCCACTCTGTTCTTTCTGCAGGTGCATTTCTCATACCGTATTTTATTTTCCTGTTTGGGGGCGGCCTGCCTGTGTTTTTCCTGGAGGTAATCATAGGCCAGTACACCTCTGAAGGTGGCATCACCTGCTGGGAAAAGATCTGCCCCTTGTTTTCAGGTAAGTACAGGACAAAGGTCACCTGGGGCCTAGTCTTCTATGGTTTGGCACATTTTTATTGAGCAGTTTTTATTTGCCAGGTACATTGGAGCCTCATGCCGGTCACTGGGCACTGTGCCTGAGCCCAGCGGCCAGCACAGGGCCTTCGTGACGCTGCAGCTCACCCCTGCTCAGTGTGCGCTGGCTCCCCCGGCTGTCGAAGGGCAGCCTTGCTGGCCTCTGCTTAGCAGCTCAGTGTGGCCCTGGAGACGCGCTGGGAGTAAGGACCCTCCATCTGGGTTTCAGCCCCACTTCCTCCTCCTGTTAACTCTTGTGACTTTGGGAAAGTCACTTAATCTCTCTGTCTCCATTTCCTCATCTATGAAAAGAAGTGACGTGCTTCTTAGGGTTGCTGTGAAGACAAAATGACATATGCACGTAAAAGTGTTTTGTCCACTTGATAGTAAGCACCAAATTAATAGTTGCTATTATTGCTTTTATGACACAGAGTCCTGTGCCTAGTACCCAGTATGCACTCACAAAGGAATACTGTTGTGGGTATAATTGACAGAGGCGGGAGTTTGTGTCACCCTAGTCATTGTCTTCCATATAAATCTATCCTTCCATCTGCCCATCCATCCATTGAACCTTTATTCTACTAAGCTAGTCAACAATTAAACTATCCAGCTACACGTTCACTCATTCATCCATTTATAGACCTCACCTTCTGACTAATCACTATCTATCTACCCACCCAACAAATCAGATATTCACCGATCTTATCAGTCCATCTAACCATTCTTCTAGCCATACAACCAGCCAACCAACCAACCAGTGATCCATCTGTTAATCCATCTAATCATCCATTAATCTACCCCTCTTCCACACATCTGTTGACTCATCCACCTAGCCCATTTATCTGTCCATCCATCCATCCATCCATCCATCCATCCATCCATCCATCCATCCATCCCATCCATCCATCCATCCATCCATCCATCCATCCATCGTCCAGTCATAGTACAAGTATTGGCCGGTCACTGTTGAAGGGCCCTTCTGGCCCTTGAGTGTGTAGCCGTGTGGGTCTGGCCTCCCTTCTGATGCTCATCTTGCTTGCTCATATCCACAGGCATCGGCTATGCCTCCATTGTGATTGTGTCACTCCTGAATGTCTACTACATCATCATTCTGGCCTGGGCCACATACTACCTGTTCCAGTCCTTCCAGTCAGAGCTGCCCTGGGCACACTGCAACCACAGCTGGAACACACCCCACTGTATGGAGGACACCACACGCAGCAACCGGAGCCTGTGGGTCAGCTTCAGCGCCAGCAACTTCACCTCCCCTGTCACCGAGTTTTGGGAGTAAGACTGGTCTCACTGCTGGATGGAGTGGGAGGGCCCGGGTGGGGGCTGAGAGACAGCTTGTCCTCCATCTTTCCTCTAAGGCTGTGGGAGTCACTAACTTGGGGTAGTGGTCGGGGAAGGGTGGTCAGACAGGCCTGGAATTGAATCCTAGTTCTGCCATTTTACTGGCTGTTGACCTTGGCAAATCACTGCCCCTTTTTGAGCCTCAGCTTCTTTAACTGTCAAATGACGAGAATGAATTGTCCCAGTGCCCATGGATGGGATCTCCATGAAGATTGTTTCCCAGAGGCAGGTATGTCATGTCTGGAAATGATCTAGTTTGCTTAATTATTTTTGAAAAAAAATGTAGTTGGCACATCGAAACTGTTATTGCAGAGAATAATGCATATATGAGCTGAATTAGTTACTCAAGGGAAAAGCTTAGTAGATAGAGCCAAAAATATCCATCCGTTAGCTTTTGCTGCGTAACAACCACTCCCCACTTCAACAGCAGCTATTTCTTTGGCTCCTGGTTCTGTAGATTGGCAGTTTGGGTTAAGCCTGTCTGGCAGCTCTTCCAGGGATGGGCTGACCCCTGGCCAGGGTGCCAGGGGCAACTGGTCTACATGATCAGCACGCAGCAGGCAAGCCTGGGCTTGTCTGTAGGTGGCTCTGCCTTCCAAAAACAAATGGGAAAGCCCCGGTGCATCAATTTTGTTATCTTCCCACTAGCCAGAGAAAGCTGCAGACTAACCCAGAGTCAAGAGGTTAGAAATGAAAGGACAGAGAGTTGTGGAAACGTTTGCAATCGGCTGTCGTCAGCTGTCATTAACTCCAGGAATCTACACCCAGGGCAGAAAACAGAAAGGTAGAACGGAGGCCTGAAGTTTGGGTAGCTGTCAGCTGACAACACAGGAAGGCTAACCCTGTGTTTGGAGGCTGACCAGAAATACCTTTGTGCCTCCCTTGCCCACTCTTTGTGAACGGGGGCAGTTGGGGCTTCGGCTGGGGGTGGCCCTTCTGATCCTGGGGCTAACTGGGAACACTTGCGTGAGGTTGAGAGCCAGGGCTGGGACACTGTTAAGGAAGGGTGGCCCCTGATCTTCACGAGATGAGAACCCCTGACTTTCGTGTGTGCCTTTGCCATTTCCAAGTTGTCTCCACCTCTTAGAATCCAAGCCAGGAGGAGCAGGCCCACAGGAGAGGGAATCGCCTCCTGAGTGCACCTGCCATACATGCTTTTGAGGCCAAGGCTGGGGAATCGCAGTCAGGAAAGGGTCAGTGGGTCTCACAGGGTGCAGGGGCCCTTGTCCCTGTCCTGACCCAGGGTGAGGCTCCTGGGTCCCCAGACTCACTTGGACTGAAGCTTTTTCTGTGGTATGTTCTCCCCTTGTACACAAAAGAAGGCATTACCAGCACATTCGTCATCCTTGAGCTCCCCGCCCTCTGGAGAGCTGAGTTTACAGACAAAGAAATGTGGGCACTTCATTCTTCTCACTTGAATGGGGCCTGAGACCACAGCCCTGTCCTTTCTCTGCTGTTCCTGGCACAGCCTGACCACCCAGGGCCTGCCCCACCCAGGACGCTGGCATCCAACCAGCCACTCAGGCGCCCGCTGGGGGCGTTGCCTCAGACCCGGCTGGTGGCCCAACTTCGACCCTCGCTGCCACCCTGTCTTGGAAGGTCCTTTCCCCTCTGGGCTTCGGTGTGCTCATCTCCATGTGGGGCCATCCTGGCACTGCCCTCCAGGCTTGTAGGGTTGCCCCAGCTGGCAGTGCCCAGGCAGGAGCTGCCTGGAAACCTGCTCAGTAAGTGTGGGCCGTTGTTACTACTGTCCTCGGTGGATGCGTGGTAACCGTCACGCGCTGGGGAGGCAGTAAGAATAGCCCTACTCAAATGCCCTTAAGGTCCCCATATTGCAACAGGGACTTCATCCCTGCCCGTCCCCAGACTGGCCTCTCCTAGGAGATTCTTGGGCTGCTTCCCTTCTCTTGGTCATGAAACCCGGAAAGGAGAGAGAACTGGCATGCAGTCACTGACTCCCGTGAGCACTGCCAGGGACTTGCCCCTGTCATTTTGTGTCATCTTTCCAGAGGCCCTTTTAATTAGTGAATGTCTAGGAATCCTGCCAACGCCTTTCTTCCTCAAACCTCATGTCCAAGTCCCAGGTCCTCTCACTCTTCCTTCAGGGTATAGCCAGAGTTTGAGCACCTGCCCCACCTGCACAGCTGCCCCCTTCCCCCCCCCGACCCGGTACCGCCAGCACTGGCTTCACTGCTTTCTCTGCCTTACCCACCCATCTCCAATCAATTGTGAATCCAACATGTCGGCTCTCAACCCAGGTTGAGACTCTAGTAGGTTCCCCCATGCTGTTATCCTGCCTCACCAGAGAGGATTCTCACACAGCCAGAACATGCTCACTGGGTGCTGATGCTTTTTATTAATTACGTACCCACCTTCACTGGACTGCCTGGAGCAGCAAGTTGCTGCCTGGCCTCATTGAAGGGGTCACATGAGCTGGACATTGAGGGATGAATAGGAGCTCACCAGGCTGTCAAGCAGAGAAAACAGATATCCCGAGCAGAAGAAACAGCCCACAGAGAGGCATGGCATCCCGAAAGCACCTGCACGTTTGGGAACAGCAACTTGTTGGTTTGGCCAGAGCATAGGACACAGGAGACCATGGAAAAGGATTGAAAACCTCAGATACTAGGTCGATGAGTCTGAGCGAGGAGGGCTTACCTTGGAAGGATATAAGAAGAACACTGGCATGATTAAATCTGTTTTCTAGACCTTACCCAGGGAACATGCTGATGGGAGAGAAGTTGACATGTCCTGAGTGCCAACTGTATACAAGGCCTCTGAGGCCTTAGCCCTCAGTAGTCTAGGCTCCCTTGGCAGTGAAACTTAGTTGAGAGAATTTCCCCTGAAAATAGTCACTGGCTCTGTGAGCACCTTTGGAGTTTCCCTGGAGAGTGACTTGCTGGGATATTACTGAGCTGTCGCTGGCTGGTACCAGTTGAGGGGGCAGAGCAGTGAGACTCTCAGAAGGGGGTCTCTACGCCCCTTGTGCCAAAGCCCAGCCACAGCCATTGTTTGCCTTCGCTTCTCTTACTTGCTGCTGACAGTTGGGTCCCTGAGCTGTCCTTTCTTTTGGCAGAAGGTGCCTGACGGGTGCTGCGAGCTCCCTGGAGCCGGAGATAACAAGGCTCTGTGGGAGCCCTGACTTCCTCCTGGCTCTGGACCTGGCAGGGCCTGTTGATCTCCCTCTTTATAAGAGGAGGCAGTGGGTACAGTGGGTGGTGCTCCTGGAGGGCTGACTGGCTCCCACCCAGCTGCATGACCTGCTGGGTGGGCCTGGCACCTCAAGCGCTAAGGCAAGGGGTGTGCTGAAGACGGCCTCCAGATGCCAGGCGTCTGGTTAGACCCTGAACACCAAGAGGTTAAGCATCTTGTCCAGGGTTACACACGTCACTAGACGGAGCCAACCCTGGATGCCACCCAGTCCACTTGTCTGTGTCCTTACCCATCACGGCCCAGGGCAAGCCCACCATCACAGGAAACACTGTACCATGCATGCATGTGACCCCACTGTCAGCTTACGAGTTGGGTTTTCTCTTGGCCTGGACCCCTGGGCCAAGCTAAAGCTGCAGTCTCAGCGCAAGTCTGTGCGATGCCCTTTTCCAGATCCCTGGGAAAGCCACCGGGGCCCATGAGACGGTCATTTCACACCAGGTTCATAATTTAACTGCCTCGCTCCATCCCTGCTCTGGGGTCAGCTCTGTCCCCAGGGTCCTGCTTCCCACCCAGTCCTGCAAGACGGGCAGGGCCAGCTCTGGCCAGTTGCCCTCCATCAGGCTGGAGCCGTGCCTTCCTCCCCAGTTCCTCTGGAGCCCCCTGGGAACTCGGCACGTATCATTAGACGTTATTAGAATCAAAGAAATGAGTCATATTTGCAAACAAGCCCTGCTCCGCCAATCTTCCCCTGCAGCTGTCGGCAGGGGGAGGCGCTGGGGAAAGACTTGCGCGGCCCCATGCTCAGGCGGATGGACTTTTTTATAATTGTTGCCTCCGCTGGTCTCCAGGGAAGAGCCATCGCCAATAAATGGCTGGCCGGGAGTCAAAAGGAAACGATTTGGCCCACTCGGAGGACGTATTTACATCTCTGAGTGCCGGCTGGACGGCAGCGGGGCGGCCGACTCAAAACAGACGTCCAGGCGATTCTTTTTTAGATCCCACCCTGGAATGAATCATTACTATTCTTGGACAAGAATGCAGCTCACCTCTGGGTCTCCTCCCTCTGTTCATGATGCGGAGAAGCCTGGGACGCCGGAGGCCCTCTTGAAGGGCAACGTGGGACCCAGCATACGGTGGCTGGTCCCCAGGGTGGCATCAGAAAAAAGGAACCAGGCCAAGGTTGATTTTCAGCACAGTGATTTCAGGAGAATACCTGAACCTCTGAGCCTCAGTTTCCTTGTCAACCAAATGGCTAATAATAGTTCACTCAACTAATGTCTGTTGAGCACCTAGTGGGTACCAGGCACTATTTTGGCTCAAGACAGACAGAAGCCTTGCCTCCACAGAGATCACATTCTAGGAGAGACATTAAACAGTAGCATAAGTAAAATTGTACTATGACAGCCATGATAAGTGATGAGAAATAAAGCCAGGGCAGGGGCAGGAGAGTAGCCAGGCATGCACTTTCCATAGCCCGGCCAGGTAGGGCAGTCCTGGCAAAGGGGCATTTGAACTGAAACCTGAAGTGGGTGGGTGTGGCATGTCATGTAATGAGTAGCCAAGGGGATAGCCAGTTCAAAGGTCCTGAGGCAGGCACAGAAAACCAGTTCAGGGAACGTAGCAGAAAATAGTGTGGCTGAAAGCGGAAGTGAACAGGCAATACAAGAGTGAGGTCCCAGTGTGTACATCCAGTTTATCCTAGATACATCCCATTTACACCCTCTGCTTCCTTATTAACGCTCCCCCTCGTGCATTAAAGTGTCTGGGCTGAATGATATAGATTATCTGCCTGCCCTTCAGGGAGGCCAAAAGGAGGGCAGGTCAGGAGGGCCCTCTTGGCCAGGAAGGAGGGAGCCTTGAGAGGATGTGGTGCAGAGGAGGGCCTTGCCCTGACTTGGGGTATTGATAGATTTCCTCTTAATGAGAGGCTATAGAGGGCGAGAATGGAGGTTGTAAGACCAGTGAGGGGGCTGCAGAAATAGTCTGGGGAGCAATGGGGGGGCCCAGACAGGGATGGTGTTATCGAACAGATATGGCCAGATTTGGGGTCACTTATGCAGTCTTCTGGGTGGTTAGAAGGTGGGGGGGGCAGTGCACTCTGCTTTATTGACCACTCCTGGGTTCTGCAGGGGGAGGGCTCAATAGCTCCTCTGCTCTGGCCGAGGCCACCGGAGTGCGACACAGAACGGACTTATGGAGGGTCCTTCAAAAATGGGTCCCCTGCAAAGCAATTCAGGCGGACCCGCACTGCTGCCCTGAGATGCTTTTGGAAAGGATGTTGGTCACTGGCACGCAGCCCGCATAGGGCTCTGTTATGACAACCCCAGACTGATGAGACACAATTCATTCCATTCCTAGGACGTCTGCACGGCCCATTACAAACATTTTCAAGAATTTAAAATAAATTTTATAGAAGTGATGTGTGCACATTATAAATATGCAAACAGTTAAAAATAAAAGCTAACTGGTGCTCAAGTCCCCTCTGCCACATCCTCACCAGGTGCCCCTCCCCAGCCTCTTGTGTATCCTGCCAGAAATAGTCCTCGGTTTATTCAAGTCCCTGTGCACCACCCCTCCCCTCACACAATGGGGAGCGTCTGTGGGCGCCTTGCTTGGTGCACCTACTTTATCTCCAGGCTATAGCTCCTTATCAGTACACAGGGAACTTGTCGTCCTCCTGTTTCTCCGGTCATTGCCGTGATGAATAGCTGGGGTGCGCCCTGTCTTGAGCCAAATGTGATAGTTGTAAGAGACTAGAGTCAAAAGTGGAACTGCTGGGTCAAAGACACAAGTCTCGAATGTCACCCATCGCCGCAGTGGGGTTCTGCCAGGGACTGCCATGGTGCAGAACCCAGCATGTGACACTGGATGCATGTGGTCGCCTTCACTGGTCTGCTGCCCACAGCCAGCCAGCCAGCCTCCCATCTCATGATGGGGGCACCTCCTCAGCACTGGCTGAGCACCTACTGTGTGCATGCCTGTGAGAGCCTGGGCTTGGCTGTCCACAGTGAGGGTGCCAGACACGACCTGCGGTTAGTCTGGAGCACCAGGGTGCAAGGTGGGGAGTGGAAAGGGCTCCTCTGCCACTGCCACTCTGCTGGGCAGCCATGGGCCTCATGGGAGGTGCTGAGCTCTGGAGGCACACAGGCAGGGTGCAAAGCTAGTACAGGTGCACCCGGGAGTTGACTGACCGATGGCCGCCTCCTGTGTCTCCCACATGACCTGGCTTGCAGCAGAAACTAGAGATTCTTTTTTTTTTTTTTTTTTTTGTGGGACCCTTGCCGGTGGCCGGGGAATGAACCGGCGCTGCAGAGGCTGCAGGCAGCCTTGCAGCCCAGCGCTCAACCGCTGCGCCACCAGGGGAGACCCTTGAGATTCTTTTTATGATTGAAGCTCTATTTTCTCTCTTCATTGGTGTATTGAGAGCACTGGCCTGCGTGTGGGGTTTCTGCCGCCTGCTAGACTGTGTGTCCATGGGCACTTGGACCCTGGCCTCGACTTTCCCCACCTGTAAAATGGGTGCATGATCGCTGCCTGGACTAGGTGAGCTGGCAAGGCCTGTGCCAGGGGGCCGTCATGGCCCTTGTATTGTTGATACCACTGCGTGCACATGCCATCCGAGGTAGGGACGCCCGCCCATGTCTCATGGGTTGATCCAGAGTGACAGTGAACTTGCCGTTCATCCTGGTTGAGGTCTTTCTTTCACTCGTTAGGTACTTATTGCACCCCTACTATGTGTTGAGATCATAGCAGTGAACCCGAAGAAAGGCCTTTCTTGAAAGCCAGTTGAGATGGGAATCATGGTTTTATTCAAGATCCCCATGTGGAAGTTTCTTTGAAACAAAAGGGAAAGGAATGAAAAAGTCTTGATGTCATGGGTGGTCCAAGAACCCGGATTCGACCTTGGGGATCATCTTGCCAGCTGGCTGAGAGTGAGATGGTCTGGGCTGCTTTCCCAAGCAACATCGTGGGGCAGGATCTCTGTTACCGTGATTTGCAGAAGAAGAAACTGAGGCTCAAAGTTCCAGTCCCCTTTCTGAAAGAGTGGTCTTCAAATAGTTTCCTTAGCAAGAAAACCAGCCCTCCCCGGGAGAGCCACTTCCCCGTCTTCCATAGTCTGGCCTGGAGACGCACTGGGCAGGCGAGTATCAGACTCGGGGCAGGCGTCAAGTCCGTGTGCTTGCCCTTGGGCACGGCTGTAGCAGGCATAGCTCTGGGACAACAGGGACAGTGTCTGGGCTTTAGGTGTCATGGTCCCTGCCCTGGTTTCTGATGCCACTTGCCCTCGGGATGTGTCTGAGTAGGTGCTGGCATGCAGTGTGTGCTGGTCACGGGTTCTTGACTCCAAGACCTGGACTCTGCCGTGCAACGCTGCGCAGGGCTGATGGCTGCCCTGGGTTCATTGTCCGTCAAGCTACTGACCGCCTCCTTCCAAGACCTTCCCCACCCTGGCCAGGAGCAAGGAGAAAACCAGCTCTGCTTAGGTGCCAGCTTTGCGCTGGGAGCTGTCCTGGCCTCCTTGATGGCAGGAGGTCACAAGGACTATGTATGTCAGTTTCTGGCCACGCCGTAGTTGGTGCTGACGTGGGTCTCCTAACAACAGTTCCTGTGAAGAGGTGGGTGGGCGAAGTGCAGCCACGGAGGGAACAGACACTATCTTCTTGAGGTCACATAGTAGTGAGAGACCTAGATTAAAAAACAGGAGCAAATAATAAAAGAGGTATGTATGGGGGAGGGTTGTTGCCATTTTAGAGATGAGACCTAGGTCTGGGAGGTGGGATAACTAACCCAAACCAGTGATGGCACAGGGAAGCTGAGTTGAAACCTCATGTTTGGTCAAAGAGGGTACTGAAGAAGGATCCCCAGTCACTCAGGGCTCAGGACCCTTTTGACAGATGAGGAAACTGAGGCTCATGAGTTCCTTAACTTGCCTGAGGCTTGGCCGAGTTGAACCAGGTTTTCTCGTTGCCATGCCACACTCTGACATGAGGTGAACTGTGCCCCGAGAACAACGGGGTTCCAGGGCTTAGAGTGGCCAGGTGGCTTGGCTAGGGGCTGCCCAGGCCTTGGCTCTACCCCCGCCGGCCTGACTGACCTGTGCTCTGTTTGCTTGAAGGCGCAATGTGCTGAGCCTGTCCTCCGGCATCGATGACCCCGGCTCTCTGAAGTGGGACCTGGCTCTCTGCCTCCTCTTCGTCTGGCTGATCTGTTTCTTCTGCATCTGGAAGGGCGTCAGGTCCACGGGGAAAGTAAGTTGTCCTTCTGTCCCTCCCCTGCCTCACAGGAGGCCTTCTCCCAACTGGCCGGACCTAGCGGGGGACTTGTGCTGACACATCAGTCCTCCGGAAGCACTTGCCCGTTTCCTGGCCAAGATTCTCTCCCCCATGTCCAGTGACTAGCTCTGGATGTTTAACCAATAGCTCGAAAAACTCCCCTCCACCCAATTTGAGCTGCACTCACTGGGGTTCCCATAGAGGTGCTGGCAGTTAATGCAGACAACAAAGGTTGAAGTTGTAACTGACAAATTAGCTGGGAACTGTTCACAATAATGTGGACTCCTGCCTTGCAAAGTTAGCTCTGACTTCATTCACCTTCTGCTTCCTGGGGAGCTTATTAGAAATGCAGAGCCCTGGGCCTGCCCCAGGCCCACAGCATCAGCATCGCTGTTGAACAGCATCCCCCACGACCCACATGCCGAGACTGGAGAAGCACTGCGGGGATTTGCGCTGCCAAGTCAGACTAACTGAATTACCTTACAAGTAAAATTTTATCTGGCAGCTAAGATGTTAGTTATTAAGGAAACTGTTCAATGATAATGAAGTCCTTCGCTCCTAACCAAAATGTTAGTTGTTAACTAAGAGTATTCACCATCGCTGAAATATTTGCTGCTGATTAATATGTTACACGGTGACTAGGATGTTAGCTATTAACAAAGATGGTAGCTGATAATTAAAATGTTAGCTTGTCATTAAAGTTTTTGGTAGAACTGGTATATTGGCAATAATGAAAATGTTTGCCTATAAACAAAATGTTACTTGTTAACAGAGCAGAACAGTGGCCTGATACCCAAGACACAGGCTGATGTTGGGGTCACTGAGGACCGGTCGGTACAGAGGGGGTCTGCTAAGATAGGCGTGACCCTGAGCAGAGCGCTGAGCTACAGCCGGCCTGCCTTTACAGGTCCTCTCTGTCCTTCCCCCATCATCCGTATCTTGACGGGGGAAAACTCCTTAAGATGAAAAAGCCCAGGAGTCCAGTTGTATATTAAGGTGGCGTTGGGAGTGAGGTCGCTCGGGAAGGGCCTTGCATGTGACTGAGATCAGCGTGAAGGACCGTGTTCTCGCCTGTGAAGAGTCCTTTGGCGAAATTATGGGTCTGAACAAATCGTAGCATTAACTGCTGGCCACTGTGGGGCAAGATCTGGGATCCCAAGTTGCAGAGGCAGAAACGGGGAGCACTCCTGGAGGGGGCCTGCATGCCATGCTCCCAGCAGTCCTAAAATGCAGTCTGGGGAGGAAGCAGACTAGGCTTCAGAACCCCCCACGTCCCTCCCAGGGACAGTGGAGGTGGAGGGCGTGTACCCCACCTCCTTGAAATATGCCGTCACCTGTGTCATCCCATTTCCTCTTACCATTTCGTTACCTTGCTCGACCCACTTCATTGCCTTTCTTTAAATGATGAGGGAACTGAGCTCAGTCAAGGGCAAGTGGCTTATCCAACATGCCTCCATTTCCTCGCATGGAAAATGGGCAGTAGTGACGGTTAAGGTGAGGGGTATGAGGGACCTAGCTTAGGGCAGAGCCCGTGTAGTGAACACCAGCTCCTTCTTGCTGCCTCCATTTCCCCACTTAGGTTAAGTGTCAGGAAGCTTCTAGAGCACATAGACCCCAGCTGTGCTGGAGTCACAGTCACCCACTCTGCGCTCCTGTGACTTGACCTGCTGGGTGCTGATGGATGGATGGGGCCAGGGACACACAGACGACGCAGACAGTCCAGGCCAGATCCGCTGGCTTTGCCAGATGAGTGTCTAAAATATATAGGAGTCTGATGGTAAGACCGATGGGAGAAAAGAACATGGCAAGGCAGGACAGGGAGTTCTGGTATAATTATAAATAGGATGGTCAGGAAGGGTCACCACGAAGGCCATTAGGGGGGTACAGCTGTGAAGGCAAGTCTGGAGGTGAGCCATGTGGATATCTGGGAGAGAAGAGGATTCCCAGGAGAGAGAATAGTCAATGCAAAGGCCGGGAGGTGTATGAGCAGCCCCTTGTGAAGGATGGAGAAGGCCAGTGTCCATCAGGAGCAGTGAGCCACGTCTGAGAGGGGTGTGAAGGGACAGAAGAGGCTCTAAGGCAGGAGTAGGGGGTGCTAGGCTGCCACTGTGGCCAACGAAGACGTGACTTGACAGAGGTTCCCCTACCCCACCCCTGGAGACAGCCTCCTCCTCAGGCGGCTCCAGGCCCCTGAGGGGCAGGCGTGGTTCCCAGAACAATAGCAGGGCCTGGGCCAGCTCTGAGAAGCCAAGACAAACACAGCTAGGCTCAGCGGACTTCCTCTAGCCCCATGGCCGGCCTGCCGCCACCGGCCATGGCTTCCAGCCCTGGCACGGACCAGGCTCACTTACCCCGTGGGTGCTGGGCCCACAGGCAGCAGCAGGACAGGCCCCATGCTGGCCAGGGCCCTGCTCCAGTGGCTGACACTTGTCCAGCAGGGGCTGGATGGAGGGAGAGCCAGGCCTTAGAGACTCAGGACACAAGTTCAAGTGTTTCTCTGAGTCTCAATTTCCCTTTTTTGTGATTTTCAGCATTCCAAGGGCCGGAAACTTGGCCCAGAACATGCTGTGGCTTAATTCATTCAAATAGTGATAATGGCCACAGATGCTGTGCAGCACACGAGTGCCAGGCCCCTCCCTCTCAGTGCTGTTGATTAGCTTGTTTAATCCTCATGATGTTCTGTTGTGTGTGTGCTTATTGGTCCTGCTTTACACACGCGGAAATGGGTGCAGAGAGGTTAATGAACTTGCCCAAGGTCACACAGCTTGTCAGTGACCAACTTAGGATTTGAACCTGGGCCATCCAGCTCCTGACCTTGGTGCCTTTTGCTTTTCCAGCTGCTGGCTGCCGCCTGTTCTGTGCTGGCCTGGCCATGCAGTGGGGCACGATGCTGGCAGGGTCCTGCTCTTGCCACTTGTGACAGGAGTTCAGAGCCTCACACAGGAAGTGCAGCTCCAAGGGGGTACATTCCTGGATGTGAGCACAGATGCTCTCTTGATCACCAGCCTCTGGGCAGGCTCGTCCTGTCTGTGTTTAGAAGCCAAGAGGTGGGGTCCAGCCTACAGCCTGTGTTCTCCCCTGACATGGGGGTGTCTGAGATCTGCTGGGCCCTGCCTTGGGGCCAGACATAACCCATGATCCCTCATTGCTGGGAGGGGTAACCCAGCTGCCCAGGCCTTCACCCCCAGAGGAAGCTGGGGCGTCAGCCCAGCTTCCTCCTGCCTCGAAGGCCACCTTCTCCCCATATCTCTAGGGAGGAGGAAGAGTTGTCCTTGCAAGTTTCCAGAGCAATTGGGCCACAGGGCTTTTGGGTCGAGGGCTCAGAGGAGCCACGGAGGCTCGCCAGCAAGAGTGGAAAAATACCATGTCCCGTGGCAAAGCCTGCTGGGCCAGCGCCAGAGGCCCACTGGCGGCGCCTGGCACCAGCCTCTCCCTCGAGGATCCCAGGGGAGTCACGGAGAAGTTGAGAGAAGGGCTCTCAGGGGCTCAGCCTTAGAGTGGAGAATTCTGCAAAACAAGGGCAGTTTTCCAAAGAGGCAGCTGAGGTGGTGGGACTAGCTGGGGTGTTCTGCTCTGGATTTGGGGAGAAGCAGCGTGCGCACGCACGCGCGCGCACACACACACACACACACACACACACACACACAGAGGTTGAGGGGTCTTGAAGCCAGGAGGCCTAGATAAATCCCATCTCTGCCACCTACTAGCTGTGTGACCCCAGGCAGACGACATCACCTCTCTGGGCCTCAGTTTCCTCCTCTAGAAAGTGCATGTAATAATAGTACCTATCTCCTCAGGTGCTTGTGAGGATTACATGTGTTCAGGCTCACAAAGCTCTTAGTGTCTGGTACACAGTAAGTGCTACTGAGTGCTTGTTAAATAAATTAAATACATGGAAACAAGGAAGCCACCCCCATCCCCAAGAGGTGTCCGGTGTCCCTGACACAAAGCCCTCTGGCCACAGTCAGCCTGGTTGCCCGGCCTGTGGGTTGGCTTTGAAGTGGCCGCCCTCTGGGGAGGGCCTGCTGTCAGCAGCTATTGTTCAAAAGTCCCGGGTGTGGCCCACTGCAGGGTCCCAGAGGTGGGAACATGTCGGGGGGCCTGTCTGCAGGAAGGGAGGAGCAGCCTGTGGGGCAGGCAGGTTTGCTTTCTTCTTTCACCCCCTCTGTGGCTTCCTGACCTGCCCCCACCCTACACGCTGCTTTCTTGTCCTGGGGAAATCATGAGGATTTTTAGCTCCAAGGAGAAGGAAATAAGGATGGAAATAAGTTGGCTGTGGAAACAGGCCCAGAGGGAGACGGGGTAGGGGTGGGGACACAGGCACTGCAGAGGCATCTATGGCTCCTCATGTGTGGCCAGCGAGGTGGGCACATGGGACAGGTAGACAGATGTGACACTGGGAGGTGGCAAGGGCAGGACAGACCCAACCCTGTCTGCGCCACCTGACCCCCACCCCTTGGAGCAGAAGAACTGGAGGGAACCTCAGCCTCATCTGGCCCCTGCTCCCCGTCCATGTGGGGAGATGAAGCCCAGAGAGGGGCAGGGGCTTGCTCGAGGTCTCCCAGCAAGCCTTTCGCTGAGCTCGAGCTCTTACCCACGCTCCCTCTGGCCTTTGGGAGGATTTGAATCCATTCTCCTCCACGGTCATCATCAGAGCAGGACGGAGCTGCTCTGCCACCCAAGTGTCAGGTCACCTGGGCAAGCATTGTCGCTCTCTGGGTCTCTGTATCCTCACCTTCAAAAGGCCGTGAAACTACCTCCCAGGCTTAAGGCAGGACCAAGTGACGTGAGTTGGTGCATTTGAATAGCCCAGGTACACAGACAGTGCTTAATAAGTGCTGACTGGAGGTGATGGACTGGGGGCAGCAGAACTGGAAAGACCTAAGAGCTTCCTCCCCATTTTGAAAGTCCTTGGCTGCTTATTCCCACTGGAAGGGACAGTGGTCACGGAGAAGGCTGCCTGTCTCAGTTCCTGGTGTCCACGGGCCTGGTCTGCCGTGCCCCTTCCTCTCAGCAGTGCCGCCATGCTCCTCTGTGCTCTGGTCTGTTTCCTCGCCAGTGAAGTGGGTCCCTAAGACCCTCTGGGAGTCAGAGGCTCTGAGCAGCTGAGCAACTTAGGTGGACTGTGCTTGCTGCGAGATCCTCACCAGCCAAGTACCGTCCCTGTACCCATGCTCCAAAGGATGCGCCCCCGCGGCTCTGGTGCAGCCAGCCCTCTGTAGAGAGGCCCCTGCGCCTCTTTGAGTGACAGTGTGGGGCTTGTGCCTACGGAGGCCTTTCTCAGCTGGTGCCCTGCTAGAAATTCCAGCACCTGTTGGTGAGGCACCTTCAAGATTCCCCCTCACAGGGAGAGGAGGGCAGGTCTTTGGGGTTGGAAAGGCCAGCCTGGTCCTCTGGCCCCCACCTCATGTCTGACCTTGGCCTGTCTGGGATGGGCTGCCTGACCCAGGGAAGCCTGGGGGCCTGCCTCCCAGTCCCCAGGAAGTGGAGGGCCTTTCCCAGGCAGGCCAGGGGGCCCTGAAGTTCCCAGGCAGGCCCGTGTCTTAGTCCCTGCATGCCGCTGCTGTTTGAGTGGTGCCACAAGCAACAGCCTTGATGAGGGCTGCCGTGGTTCTTACCTCCTGTTTCACACATGAGGCTACAGGCCAAGGAAGGTTCAGCCTCATGGCTGAGGTCGCACGGCAAGTGAGGGGACAGAGCTGGGGTCTGCACCCACACTGATGCACTTAGCTGTGCATCACGCTCACAGGTACAGGGTTAGCTGATGTGATCTAGGGGCCAAGTGCCAACCTCCTGGCTAAGCCTTTCACACACACACGTGATAGTTCACTCTTGTTTTGTATTTTCCTTCTCCACCCTTTGGGAATGTCAGTTCCACGAAGACAGAGCTTTCCTTTCTTTTCTGTCCACCGCTGTCTGTGCAGGCCCTCCGTATTCAGCAAAGACGTGTAGATGCTTCTCATCCAGTCTCAGTAAATCTATGAGGCCGGTGCCTAGGTGACAGGTGAGGCAACTGAGGCCCGGAGAGATTGAGCAACGTGTCCAAGTGACAGAGCAAGTGATAAGAATCTTGGTTCCAGAGCCGTCTCGGTGCTCGGTGCCGTCTTGGCACCCCTGACGTCCTGTTCTTCCTCGCAGGTGGTCTACTTCACAGCCACGTTCCCATTCGCTATGCTCCTGGTGCTGCTGGTGCGTGGACTGACGCTGCCTGGTGCGGGCGCAGGCATCAAGTTCTATCTGTACCCCGACATCAGCCGCCTCGAGGACCCACAGGTACCGCGGGGCAGGCGGTCCCCTCCCCAGGGCTGGTCTGGGCAGGGTGTGGCGGGAGCTGGCAGCACCGTTCAGAGGTTCTTGGGTGCAGCATCCAGCTGGGCCGCCGGCCCTGGTACTTTTCCACTGGGCTGTGGCGGGTTGTTCACGGCGCTCATGGACCTTCCAGCTGTGTGTATCTTTTCACGTTGAGGCCTCCTGAGGCCAGCCAATTATAGTGTCTGCTTTAGGCATGGCGCCAGGTGAGAGAGAGAATCTTTCTGAGCTGCTCTTCTCCTTGGACCTGGCCTCTGCCCGCACCGCTGGAGCCCTGTATCGTGGACATTGTAGATTGGCTGGCTCCTTGGCTGAGGATCGAATTCAGAGTTGGTGACCTTTTGAAGGTCAAGGGGCAAACACCAAAAGTCCACCACCTGGCATGCAGCCACATCCCTGCGGGGGGCCAGAGAAGCTCTGGAAGGTTTTATTGGCACCTTGAGGACCTTTTGTCCCCAGGAGCCTCAAACTCGTTGGAACCACGCCTGTTTGGGTTGGGCCTCCTCCCCAATGTCCTTTGCCCTCAGCAGGAGGGGGCCAGCCTTGGAGGACAGCTGTCAGGCAGCTTTGTGGCCCTCAGGAGCTTCTTGCTGAAGGTTCTGGAGAAGAGTGTCGCTTCCACAGGTCCATTAGAGAGTTCCTCCCTTTCTTACTCAGGGGTCCCTAGTCAACAATTACATTAACAATGGCAGCTTTGACTTAGGGACTTACCACACGTCTGGCTGAATCTTCACTCTTTGAACCCACAGGATAGCTCTGCAGGGCAGGGCCATGGAGCACATTTTACAGATGTGCAGAAGCTCCAAGAGCCCTGTTACCTTCCCAGGGGTCACACCATGGTCGGAATCTGTGTCCATGTACTTCAAGAGCCCAGTCTCTTTGCACTGATGCTTCATTCTTGGGAGGTCCTACTTCTGGGGTTCCTTCTAGCTCAGTGTTACCCTTGAAAGGCAACTTAGATTCCCGTGAAGATGCTACAATTGCAATTGAGACCCTGTACCTTTCAATGGGCATTCCCTGCCAGATGACCAGGGACCCTCGCCTCCTCCTCCTCCAGGAAGCCAGCTCTGATAGCCCTTCTCTCTCTTCTTGCCATCTCCCACCCCGTACCCCTAGGTTTGGATTGATGCAGGGACCCAAATATTCTTCTCCTATGCCATCTGCCTGGGAGCCATGACCTCACTGGGGAGCTACAACAAGTACAAGTACAACTCATACAGGCAAGTGTCGCGCCGGCGGGCCTGGTGGACCTTAGAAATGATGATGTTTAAACAAAAAAGAGAAGAAGTAGGGAGCGTGGCTTCCTTGTGTTGTGAATTAACTTGCTCCCTGACATATGTGTAACTTAGGGACTGTTTGCTGCTGGGATGCCTGAACAGTGGTACCAGTTTTGTGTCTGGCTTCGCAATTTTTTCCATCCTGGGCTTCATGGCACAAGAGCAAGGGGTGGACATTGCTGATGTGGCTGAGTCAGGTATGGTGGTATCGGTGGCAGTGGTGGTGGGCACTGCCACCTAGTGTGTAAGCCGAGTACTGCAGGCATGAAGCCAGACCCCAGGGTGCTTGGGGGGGCACGAGCCTGGTTTCCAAAATGGACCCCCCCCATCAAGATGTTTCCCAAGTATCAAGAGTATATAAAGCTAAATTTTAAGTACTTTCATTGCAATTTGGCCCAAGGGGCGGCAGAAACATGGGGGTTGGCTAAGTTGGGGAATATTTAGCTACTTTTTTGTGGTCTTCCCCCTTCCCCCACCTCCCCCAGAAAACTCCCGGTTTCAGCAACAGCCACCAATCGGCGTTCCATCACCACCTTCTCAGCTTTGGTTTCTGTATTTGCACTTTGCTCCTCGCGCCCCCTCTAAGTGAGCTCGTTCATTCATTCCACCTGAGTTTCTACCCTGTGTCAGGCACCACCGTAGGCACTGGGTAGGGGAGAGGCAGTGGGCACGCAGTCTGCCCTCTGGGACACTGACAGGTCCAATTTGGGGCCATCACATTACCCCTCAGCATGTGAGCCCTGTTGGGACGCTAATCCTGGCACACCCGCAAGAGGAGGGGAGTCTCAGAGTCAGTCTCTGCAAAGCCTGGGGTCTTGGGCTGGGATCCTGGAGCTCCGTCAAGATGGTTCTGGAAACAGAATTACGAGGTCTCAGAACCACAGAATCTCAGGGACCTAGATTCTAGCATTTGCCATGGATCCTCTAATCCTGCACTTGTAGCCGTCACACTGCAGGGACTTAATTGTGGGACTTAGGCCCCCAGGCCCCTCCCCTATATGACCGCCCTTTTGGCTTCTCCACTCTTCCCCAGCACTGCCCAACCCACTTGCAAGTTGGGGGGTCAGCTGCCTGCCTCACCTCCTGATTTCTCATAACCTCTTCGGGGCCACTTGGAGGCAGGCAAGGGTCCTGGACTGACTCTCTGGCCCCAACAATAGAGTAAGGTCTTAGCTCCAGGCACCAGTACAGACCAGGCTCAGGCACAGCCAGATCCCCCAATTGGTGTCATCCTTGCCCTTGCTTCCCCCAGTTCCCCAGGCAGAGAGCCCTAGAATTGGGGAGGTATGGTCAGGGATAGAACTGGGCTCTGGGACAGTCTGCCCAACACATGCTGGGTGGGTCCTCTGACATGAGGATGTACCCTCTCCGCCTCCCCATCAGCCTAGACACTGACAGCCTCTGGCCTTGCCTGTGTGAGGACATGTCTGGACTCTGACCTCAGAGGCCCTGGGCTCTGCTCTGCTTAGGCAAAGACACTGCTCTGGGAGCAAGCCAACTTGTACCCCAGGCCGCAGGACCCTCAGCAGGTCCACACCTCGGCCCCACCAATTTCTCCACTGCCCCAGTCCTAAGCCGGACCATCCGACATAGTTTTCCCTCCCGAGAGCCCCAAAAGGTAGGCCAGAGACTGAGGACACAGAAAGTCATTCCAGAAATATCCACGCCCACTTGGGAGTTGCATAGTTAGCATGACACGAGGGCAGTGTCTACCACCCCCACAGGTGGCTTTCTTTAATCAAGGGCTCGCAAACCCTTTTGGATTGACTGGGAATCAGCAGGACCATGGGCCAATTTGGCGGAGGGCGATATACCTTGATTTATATCAAACCGATCTTTCTCTGTGGACAACTAGGTCTTTTTATATCTGTGTCTCTATCATCGACCTGAGTGGCTTTCTTCCTCTCCGTCCACTTCAAAGGCCTTGTCATTTATTTCCCACGGTGATGTCTGAACAGCCAACACATCCAGGGTGATTATTTCTCTAATAAGCTTTTAACAAGCACCATATTGAGCGAAGTGCATCTGAACCAGAGAATTATTTAGCCGAACGGAGTGCACACGAGACGTGGAGTGCGCGTCCCCGCGGGGGAGAGGCTGCAGAGGGGCCGGGGCGCCGCGTGCTCTCACACGACTTCTCTCTCTAGTTCCCCACTCAGACCCTCGTCCTGAGAAAGGCAAAACTGAAATACAGAAACGAGCGCCTTGAGAAACTTGACCAGGCCCCGGCGGGTGGGGGGTGGCGGGGGGGCCCCATTTTACATCTGTCTCGCAGTCGGCTGGACTCTTCCTCACGCAGCGACCTGGACCCATGGGGGCCAGAGGTCACGTGTTGTGGGGACGGGGTCCCGGTCCAGGAGGAAACTCGGCTCTGTCGCAACTTGGACTCCTTTCCCCACGTCACGTGGAATTTCCTGCCTCTGCCCCAGTCGGCTTTTCCTCGGGTCCCATGGACTCTGGGCCTCAGAAGGACTCGCCCTAGCCCACCACGTTTGTGGTGAACTCCGGAGGGGCTGTGGTTTCTGGCTCCCATGCATTTCAAAATTTTGTGGGATTTTTTATTTTCCAGCCCTAAAACATCCATTTGGAGTCTAATAGCTGCTTTAATTTAACACGCCTCTGGCCCTTTTTGTTTCACATTTTGTAGACTTTTTTTTAGTTGTGAATTTACTTCATTTTCTTGGCACAGGTCTTTGAGGCCGCCGTTCTGACCCACCACAGGCCCCACCCAGCTCAGCTCCTCCCCGGCACCTCCTCTCAGCGGCGGGGTGGAGACGTTGTCTCGGCAACTTTTGCAGTCAGTGAGGCAGGGCTCCTGTCTCCCCGACCCTGCCCCCAGATTCTGTCAGCCCCTCTTTGGAAACCAGAAGCCCTTTCCTAAGGAAGTGGTATCGGCATGGAGAGTCTGCACTGACGGCTCCTTGGGAGTCATTTCCGGTGACCTGCCCCTCATTTCTCAGGGGAAACTGAGGCTCTCTCTGGAGGGCGCGTGGCGATGTAATTGGAGATGGCAGAATGAGAACTGAGGGTGCCTGGGGGTCTCCGGACCTGGGGTCTTGCCCGGTGCTCTCTTCCCCTCAGCTATGGGTGGCCCCAGCCTGGCCTTTGGGGCTTGGCGTGACCCTGCCCGGTGGGTACGCAGATGCATCCCTGGAAAGATGTTTGCCCTGTGGGGTACGGTTCAGGATTCTTTTTTTACTCTCTACTCATACAATGAATGTTTTCGTCATCAACTCAAAAAGTAGAAACCTTTTCTTTGCCATCGAGGGCTTCAGAGTCCGATAACCAGAACTTTCCCCTTTGCTTCCTTCCAGCAAACATGGGCATGGTTACTCTGGCTTGGGGGGCTGGGGAGGTGGGAGGAGCCCTCCTTTTCCAAGCTGCTGACTGAGTCCAGGCTCAGTTCCGTTTCCCGCCCCACATACCCAGTGTCGGTCTGGATTCTGGTATGTGAGGAGGCCACTGTGCTGCTGCCTAGGAGACAGATGCTAAAACGGGGCCCCACCTGAGCCCCGGTGCGTCCCACCCAAAAGTGAGACAGGCCTGGTCTCTTCCCCCAGCAAGAATTCAGACCCGGCTCCGCCCTGCATTTTGGGTTTGGGAGACCCGTCTCAGACCCAAGTGTCTTTGTGTGAGCTGGTGTCCTGGGTAGCTTGGTCACTGACGTGTCTCCCCCTCTGCCCCTCCCCATTTTCTCTTCCCTCTAGGTCCCGGCCTGGCCTTCATTGCCTACCCAAAAGCTGTGACAATGATGCCGCTGCCCACGTTTTGGTCCATTCTTTTTTTTATCATGCTTCTCTTGCTTGGACTGGATAGCCAGGTATGTAGCAAAGAAGGGGACTTCCTAGGGTGCGACTCTCCTGCCCACAGGGAACCTGGTTCTGGAAAAGCCTCCTCCTCTGAGAGGTAGTCACACCCATTCCTGCCCTCACATCAGACTTGCAGCAGCTTCAGCCAGTGAGGGGGGCCCTCCAAGGCCTCAGAACTGGGGAAGACCTCAGCTCCATAGGCAAGGGATGTGCCTCAAAGATCAAGTCTCTGCTCCCCCCGTGCCCCTATTAAGGGAAATGGACATGAGAGATGTGGTTCTAATGAAGCCTCAAGTAGGAACAGGAGAGCAAGTAGGGGATGCCCTGTGGTGAGGCTTCTGAGGTGACGTGGGAGGGTACCCCTGTGTGGGAGGGCCATCTAGGCAGTGTGTCTAGTCCCAAGAACTGCTGGGACCACCTGGGCTCTACTTGAGTTCCTGTGCTCCCTCGGGCACGTGGAAGCACATGTTGGTCCCCCAGTGCTTTACACACGGAGGCAGGCTTGGGGAGCCTCGCCCAGCCTGGCCCTGATGCTGACCATACTGGCTCTGCCCTCCGGAGGTGGTGTCCCCCCTCCTCAGCAATGTGTTCCTGTGCTTCCGGCCCCCTCGTGCTATCCCTTTGCTGGGTGTGTCCTTGGGAACCAAGGAGAGGCTGAGACCAACTTGGGGGCAATAAGGTTCCAGGCCCTCCATGCTGTTCTGTGGCACTGGGCACGTTTCCTCCTCCTGAGCCTTGGTTTCCTCATCAGCCAAGCAGGTGCGATCAGACAACCTCGCTCTGCAGGAAGCGGCGGGAGCAGTGCCTGCTACGCGCAGTCCGTGGTGCTGGGTGCTTATCCTGAGTCTCTGGCCCCCTTTTCCTGGAGTATGTGCCTTCCCACAGGGTCCTCTCCACATGCAGCCCAGAACCAGGTGTGACTGGCCCTGTGTGAGGGCCTGGTCAATAACAGCCCTGTGGACAGTGCCACTCGGGCCCCCCTCTGAGGTCAGTCACTGAAAAACAGGCATTTGCAGCCTCTTATGTGATCTGGGGGTCCAGCTGCCACAGGCGGAGTCTTCAGTCAGCTGGGACCTGTGAGGGTGGGGCCTGCGGCCAGTTCTGGAGCTTTGCCACTTCCTCTGGCCCACAGCCTCAAAGTCAGTACCCAGGGCAGGGCCCTGGGGACTCCAAAACAGATAGGAGGAAAGTTTTAGAAGGTCAGGCAGAGGAGAGGAGGCGTTCCGCTGGCAAGGTCAAGAACGAGAGAGAGAGATTTGGCAGAGAAGGGATCAGGATTAGCAGAGACAGAATGGAAACATTTGGGAGACTGAAAACAAAATACTTGTGCAGTTGTTGATGGACGACTTGAGCTGCGTAAACAGCAAGAGGGCTCCATTCATCATCCCTCGTTAATGAGTTTGGCCTTCAGGGGGCCCAAGCAAATGGCTTTATCGCTTCTTCCAGGGCTCCGAGTGAAAGCAAAGAACAAAAACAGAGAGAGGTTAAGAAATGATGACGCATGTCATCTCCACGGGCCCAAAATAGGCCTCTTGGGCTAAGCTGCTTCCTGGGAGGCAGGTAGGATTTGGCTGGAGATGTGCACCATGATCAGGCCCTGGGGTGGCCTTGCGCTGAGGGGGCCCCTGTGAGCACTCCACGCCAGCCTCACCTCTGCTGCAGAGTCCACACTCAAGTTCAGAGCCCAACAATAATGCCCACAGTGGGCAAGGCTGGGACTTGAACCGAGGAGTTAGAACATGATGTCTTGGCAGTCAGGGCAGAGGGCAGAACCCCCTCCCTTGCACCTGGGAATGGAAGGTTTGCTGCTGCCGCTGGCGGCTGCCTTGCACACACCAGCTCCGGGGCCAGGGGCCAGGGGCCAGGCGCGGTGCTCACATGAGCCAGGCTTCAGGCCAGGCTTTCCATGCGCCTGTGTGGGGTAACCACACATGACATAAAATGGGCATCTTGACCGTTGTCTCGTGCCCAGTTTTGTGCATGCATATTGTTGGGCTACCATCATTTCCAGAACGTCTTCATCTCCCTACACTGAAACTTAGACCCCATCAGACACTAACTCCCCAACACCCCCTCTTTGTATACATCAGCTCATTCATCTGCAGTGTCCCAGTGCTGGGTGCAATGGCTGCCCTCTAGGGCCAGGGAAACTGGGTTGGGCCAGGACCTGGGCCGTGCACACTTGGTAAATGGGTAAGGCACCTGGCCTTGGCTTGTCCTGGCCTTGTCCTGCTAGTTTGTTCCCATTTACTGAGTTCCCCCCAAAGCTTCCTCCACTGGACGTGCAGACGTCCACAGCCAACCCGAGGCGGGTGCCCTACTGGCACAGATGACCTCACACATCAGAAGGGCCTCTCCCAGAGTCCTTGGCATTTGGGGGGAGCACCCTCTTGGCTCAGCACCTTTGTACCACAGTGTTTCTTGGTGAGATGGGACAGGTTGTCATGCATGAGGAAGCCCGGGGATATCAGGGGCACAAACAGTGAGAGCCTTCTGGGCGCCCCCCCCTCTCCCCCCCCCCCCCCCCCCCGCCCAGCAGAGCGCACCCATTCTGCTCCCTGACGCAGGTTAATCACCTCATTGCCAATCACCTTTAATAATTTGGAGCATTTCTCGCCATAGTGATGAAGAGGCCAGACCCCTCCCTTATCAGGGAGGGAAACTGGGCCGGAGAAGCCAGGGTCGTGTGGCCATGAAGTGAGGGAGGTCGAAGAAGCTGCGGGGGTGGAGGGGGGCATTCCCCAGAAGTGGGGGGAGCATGGAAATGAAGCACTGGCTGGGCCTGGCCCTGAACACCCAGTGTCATTTCCCCGACTCAAAAAAGGAAATGTTTTTAGCTCCTTTTGCAGCTTCACATTGATCTGCTGCTTTGCAATAGGTCAGTGGCTATTTGGGTTTACAACCCCTTTGGCTGACACCTCAATCAGAGGTCAAGACCGGAGCCGCTTCTCGTTGTGCCCCCTGGGCGAGCCTCTTGGACATTTCCCAAAGCCGGCAAGAGTATCATTCCCCCGCCCCATTCATCACATGAAAGGGCACTTTCTCTGCGTGGTGCTCCGTGATCCTCTGGTGCGTCCCCAAAGAGAAAGCGGTTGGGTTTGTGTGACGGGTGTGCCAGGGACGCGCCCTCTGAAAGCCCCTCCTGGGGAAAAGAACAGGCGGGTGGAGGTGGAGGGTCTTCAGCTTGTAGAGAGATTGGAGCTGTCTGGAGGGTATATTGACCCGCAGGGCCACCGGGCCGTAGCCATCTAAGTGGACAGCTGGTCCGCGTACCCTTCCCCCCCGAAGTTGCGGTTACTGTGCACATGCGCCCAACACTGATGCTGAGAAGGAGCCTTGGGCCAGGTCTGTGGCTGCAGAGGGCTGGGGCCTCCAGTGGAGCACTAAGAAGGGGGACACTGCGCTTGTCCCGGCTGGCTTGTCCTCAGCTCTCCATAATGACATGGGACTGTCTCCAAGACTAGTGAGAGTTACCTGTGGAGGGGCCTTTCCAAGTCCGCTTCTTTGCCTTGGGGAGCCCTAGAGTGGGTTCCCACAGTTACCTGCAGCGTTCAATTCACACACACACAGGGTCACGTGGGAGTGAGGCAGGCATGCAAAAGCTGTCTGGGCCCATGATCCCCAAAGGCTTAAAAACCACTGCAGGAATCCGATGGGGAAACTGAGGCCCAGACCTGCTCTGGGTTCCCTTTGCCTAGCCCGCTGGGCCGTATTCTTGGCTTCAGAGAGGGTCAAGACTAAAGAAGAAGCTTGTGTAGACAGGCAGTCGCTGAGCCGACCCTGTAGGAGGAGGGTCCAGCATCCTCTTGTGGGGTGAGCCTGAGCAGGGGTGCACAGATGCCCATGCTGGCAAACTGTCCCTGTGACTTGACCAGAATGAGGTCTGGCTGCAGGAGTGGCAAGTGGGTCTCATCAGCCCACAGCCCACAAGATCAGCTTTGTGAGTTTGGGCCGGACCTCGCAGACCCCTTAGCATGCGCCAGGGCTCCTCTCCCGCCGAGGGGTGCTACTGGGTGTCTTCCACTCAACCCTGTCTTTTCTTCCCCAGTTTGTTGAAGTCGAAGGACAGATCACGTCCTTGGTTGATCTTTACCCATCCTTCCTAAGGAAGGGTTTCCGTCGGGAAATCTTCATCGCCTTCATGTGTAGCATCAGCTACCTGCTGGGGCTGACGATGGTGACGGAGGTAGGTGGCACTCACCTGGCATGAGGCTCTTGCAGGTGCTTCTGGGGCCGTTCAAGGCCACATGGTCTCCTCCCCTCCTCCCACCCCATAGAGGCAGCAACTAGGTAAGGACTAGGGCCAGTGATCTCCCCAGGCCTGTCCAATTAGGGGTCCCCCTCTGCCCAGGGGACTCAGCCTAGACTGGGGGTTGGGGCAAAGAGGGGGACCCAGCAGTTGACCTGACCTCTCCTGCCCCTTTTTTTCTGTAACCATAGAAACTTGGCCACCTCTGTCCCTCCCTCATCCAGCAAGGCTTGGGGAAGGGATGCTTTAGCTGAAACCATTTTAGCAAAGCTCATTCACTCTGACTGTCCTGCAGAGAAGAGAGGGTGTTGGTGCAGGCCAGTGCAGATCATCCACACTGGCAGCAGCGCCAACCTGTCCACGTAACAGGGAGTGTGCACTGTTCAGATGGTGGATGGGGCAACAGGGAGGTTCCATTTAAAATGGAAAAGGGAGCAAAGAGGGGGCAGGAGCAAGAGTATTGACGTAAGAAGCAGGTCTTCTTGCAAAATAATGCAGGGTGGCAGCCTGCTGTGCATGTGTGTGCCCCTGCACCCTTCCCCACCCATGTCTCCAGTTTCTCCAACAAAACTGCATTTGCCCCCAAATTCAATTCAGGGTTGTACATCACCACTTTACTGGAAGTAAAATTTTTCTGGAAGTGTCTATAAGAATCCATTCCCCCAACCCTCCTCCAAAAAAGAAAACAGCAGATCACCCACACACACTGAGCAGCTACGTATCCCTGGAGTCTTTCTTCTGTGTTGACTGAAGTTGGTTTTACAAACCTCTCTTGGAAGCAGGCTTCAGCGAACCCATCATTTTTTGCTTACATGCTTCTGTGTATGTGTTTTAATTTGTCATATGAAGTTGAGCAACATTTTACACATGTATTTGGTCATCATAGCCTCTGCTTATTTTTCTATAAAGATCTTTATTTCTTATTGCTGTACTAGAGCTCTTTATATATGAAGGGGATTAGACACAAAATGGCATGTCAACCTCTGGTCTTCTCTTCACAGGGTGGCATGTATGTGTTTCAACTCTTTGACTACTATGCAGCTAGCGGTGTATGCCTTTTGTGGGTTGCATTCTTTGAATGTTTTGTTATTGCCTGGATATATGGTGAGTACCAATTTTTGCATGTCTTTTCTCAAGTCTCTTGGGCCTCTAGAAGCTTCAGAAACAGAATTCTAAGGGGGATTCTTGAGTTGAACGCGAAGGCCTTCCTACACCATGATATCCTTATACCCACATTGCAGAGCCTCCCTGTGCTGAGTACGAGGCATGGCTATCTATGTCTTGGCAAACCTAGCACTTGGCTATGCAGGGTCTGCCACGCACCTGGCTAGGAGTGGTTCGATTTGACCTCCTGGAAACCTTGGGTTGACCATGCCAGGATTGGGGATCTGCCTGAGGTTGCCAGAAAAATACAGGCTGTCTAGTTACATTTGAAATTCAGATAATTTGAGCTGAGCTTGGGCTGTACCCTTGGGGCTGTGTGGTGTCGAGTTGCAGGGACTGGGATGAGGCCCCATTCTCCTGGCCCTGAGCCTCTGCTCTGCCACCCCACGGCAGCGGACGCCACATCACCATATGTCTGCCTCCATCTCTTGTAGGCAGTGATAACTTCTATGACGGTATTGAGGACATGATCGGCTATCGGCCTGGGCCCTGGATGAAGTACAGCTGGGCTGTGGTCACTCCAATTCTCTGTGTTGTAAGTTCTAGCCTGTCTGGCGGGGGTGGTAGCCTGTACTCCCTGGGGCATGCATTCTGCTTTCAGCATATGCCAAGTGCTGGCCCAGACCCAGCCTAGTGACAGCTCTGCTGGGAGAGGCCGCTCCCCAAGGTTACCTGGAGGTGACTGGAAGATGAGCAGGAGCCTGTCGGAAAGAGAAAGCAGGAAGGGCATTCCTGGCAGAGGCCAGGTGTTCTGAAAGAGGAAGGTGTGCTGGGTGTGTTGACTTTTGGGGAGTCCACGATAGGGGGGCCTTCCTTGAGTTGAGTTGGGTCACTGATGAAGTTGAGAGACCTTTGGGGCATTGGAGACACTGGAATGTGGTGTTTCCATGGCAGATTGGGGTGGGTGGCTGGAGAGGGAGTTCCTAAGAGGGGCAGACGGAGCCACCTTCCTCTTCCCGCGAGGCTTCCCACCCACCACCTTGGAATGTGGCCTCAGAGGGTGCCCAGGCACCTCAGGTCCTGCTCTGAGGCTCTGGCAGATGCGGAACCTCACAGTGTTTGAAACTAGTTGTGAGCGTTGTGTAGTTGTGGGGAAGACGTGTGCTCTGCTGTTCCCAGCTCGTGCCGCGGGAGCGCCAACAGCATGCAGCAGCCAGGAGCTGAGGACAAGGGCATCCTCCCCTCTGGGGCCTGTGCTCCCAGGCCAGAATGAATCAACATGACACTAATGCACTGTGCAGCCTTTAGGCTCCTTCCCCCCAGGGTGGGACGTGAGTGACAGCCGGCAGACTTAGGCTGTTATTATTTAACATTTATTACTTAAGAGGATTGTGGCCTTGTCCTTGAGGTGCATCTTTCCCCACCAAAATAAGTGCCCATAGCAGCCAGGAGCTCCAACAGTTGATAGTTCATGGGTGGGGGTGGGCTTAGTTGGTTGAAAAACCCATGTCCTCTTGCTCCTCTGCCTGGAGGCAGACGTCCTGGCCTTCCCAGCAGCCTGACCTGCTCTCCGGGAGAATGTGTGCTTTGCATGGGCTTGGTGGCGCAGGGCTGACTCTGTCTTCCCTCCTACCCGCTGCTCATGGACGCTGGAGGCCACTGTGGGCTCCGGGCAGGCCACCCCACAGGGCATGGCCCACATGCTGTCCCTAGGGACACTAGGGAAGGAGAAAGGTGGTCAGTAGCCAGGGTGGGGAAGACTCCCAGGGCAGCATTTATGGCGCATCTGTTGTATGCACCCGGAACTGCAGCGGGTATTAGAGAAATGGGAGGACCAGGCAGGCATGCCCTCTGCCCTCACTGACTCGGCAAGTGGGGGTGACGGGTGCCCAAGAAGCAACTGTGGCCACATGCCCTGGCTGACTGGGCAGGATGGGAGGAAGAGGAGGGGCAGCGAGTCCCATCAGAGGGAACGGCCTGGGTAAAGGCTTCTGGGCCAGTGGCTGAAGGGCTGGGACGAATTCAGGGTAGCTAGAGAGAAAGGGGAGGGAACGTCTCCTGGCTGACGTTGGCAGAGCTCGTACTATATCCTGGGGTGCTGGGGAGCTCCAGCAGTTTAGAGGAGGGAAACCTTGGTAATCTTCGCACTGGGGGAGAGGAGGGTGTCACAGTAGCAGAGCTCAGGGTGTGAGGCCCTCTGGGGGGACCCTTGTACCACAACCTGATGCCCAGGACCCTCCTGACTGCCTCCTTCTCTCCACAGGGATGTTTTATCTTCTCTCTCGTCAAGTACATCCCCCTGACCTATAACAAAGTCTACGTGTACCCCAACTGGGCCATTGGGCTGGGCTGGACCCTGGCCCTGACCTCCATGATGTGTGTGCCCTTGGTCATGATCGTCCGCCTCTGCCAGACGGAAGGACCGTTCCTCGTGGTGAGCTCACAGGGCCCCGGGGCTGGGTGGTGGGGCATGGCTGGAGGCCCAGCATCTGGCTGACAGCGGCTCTGGATGGCTGGCAGAGGCCTCAGGCTCTATCCTGAGAGCAGTGAGCTGTGTTTCCGGAGACCACGGACGAAGAGCCCACAGAGGCTTCCCTGGCCTGGAGCTGGTTTCTGATGAGTCCAGTCCAGGCGGTGCCCCCTCCCCAGGCCTGTGCCTGACCCTCAGACCATACGTCTGCTCAACATAAAACCTCTGACCTCCAGGCCTCTGCCTGCTGGTCTGCCCTTTGCGGCAGCCTCCCCACGGCCAAGTTCCTTTGAAATTCCTCTAACAATGGTGGAGATTCCCAGCCCTGGCAAAAGCTGGGGCTCTTTCCAAGAAATCCTTTTCTTAGAATCTCCCTTAACCTTTGGGCTTGGGCCGGCTCCAAGAAAGCCCTGTTTTGTTCTGGCTGTTTTTATTGTTATTCTCTTAAAAATCTGGAGCCAGGATATCCTGGGGCCCTGGCTCTCCCCTGGCCTGGGCGGGTTTCCTGGTGGGCCGCGGGAGGCCTGGAGGTGTTGATTGGGTGAGTGGGGAGGCGGGCAGCATGGGACCAGCCGTGGGGGACAGGAAAGAGGCAGGGGTGTGTTAGGTGGGAAGCACGAAGCTGGGGGCTCTCTGAAGGTGGTGTTTGGGGTGTCCCTGCAGTAGGGGACAACACAGGCAAGGACCCCAGCATTCAATAGGAATTCTGAGTGGCCATTTGTAAGATTATGGGGCCCAGGGACAGGTGCTCCCCACCTAATTTTCTAGGTCCAGCCACCCCCTCCATAGGAATTTCCAGAATGTTGCTACTACCCAGAAATTACAGGGTCAGATGTGGGTCCAGCAGGAGGCCTAGGAGTTCTGTTCTGGTTGGTCAGTGTCCACAGCCGGTAATTACCTGTTTCATCCGTGGAGGGGGCGGGACCACACCCTTGACAGGTCACTAACTTGTTTCTTTCAAAGCCTAATCTTATAAGATTTTTCCAACCGAAGTTTAGATGTTTAGTCAGAAAGGGGTTGGTGTGGGGGATGGAGAAGGGAGTGGGTGAGAAATCGACTCCACCCCAAGCTTGTCCCCCATCCTCACCTATAAGCCTGACCGTGAGTCATCACTCACCTGAAGGCAGGCGAACAGCCACGTGTCGGTCTTTTCAGTATGTTCCTCGGGCACCCATCTGCGCTGGTTGCTGCGGTGGCCTCCCAGCCATGAGCTGGACTCAGTCAGGTTCTGCAAGCCCAGAGCTCTGCTCTGGGAGGATCCCAGTTGCAGCCACGCCACCTGTAGGAGCAGAGCCCCCAGGGGGCAGAGGGCTGCCCAGTGGCGTTTGCCTGCTGTCCCCCTTCTGGGCGCACGCCCCACTCTATAGATGTACAAGAGGAAAAGCCATAGCGGGGCAGCTGAGCCTGCCCCCTCCTTCCGGGGCTTCCCCCTCCCCTTTACCTGGGGCCCCCAACCTGTTCCTTCAGGGCCCAGGCAGGCAGCCCCACTGAGGGCAGCCTTTGTGGCAGACCAGGAGTGCAGGGGAGCAGGTCGTCCAAACCCACAGCAGGCAGCAGCCACTCCACGGTGGGCACTTGTTATGCAGAGGGGACGTAGGCCTGGAATTGCCAGATCTTGTAATTTTTCAAGAGAAGATAGAAGTTTGGATTTTCAAATGAAATAGTGTCACTTTCAATAAGCAGCTTTTAAAAAATCAACTAATATGTTTAAATTGAATGTGGATGCCCAGATAGAGGGCTTCTTGTTTGCAACTACTTCTGTTGAAGTCTGAGTGGACCCAGGGCAGGAAGTGTCTCGGCAGGTGTCCCTGAGCCCCAGGGATGGGCCCCAGAGTCTACAGACACAGGCGCTGTGCTGATTCAGGCCCTGAAGGCACTGACCAGGGGCATCTTAGTTCAACGACTTTGTTTGCCAGGGGATGAAATGGGAGGTCCAGAGAGGGTTAGTAGTTTGTCAACGGCTGCACGGCACGCTGGCAGGACCTGCAGGGGGCAGAGGGAGAAGAAGAGAACCAGACTGCCTAACTTTTCTCTGCTTGTACCCCTTCCTTCTGCAGAGAGTCAAGTACCTGCTGACTCCTCGGGAGCCCAACCGCTGGGCCGTGGAGCGCGAGGGGGCCACGCCCTACAGCTCCCGCCTGTCCATGAACATGAACGGGGCTCTCATGAAACCCACCCACATCATAGTGGAGACCATGATGTGAGATCTCTCGGGTCGACGGGGCTGCTTTCCTGCTGTTTACTAACATTAGATTCTCATAGGACCAGGTTTACAGAGCTTTATATTTGCACTAGGATTTTTTTTTAATTGTCACAGAAAATGTTACCGTGTGCGTGTGTGCGTGTGTGTGCAGTGTTGTGCGTATGTGTATATTGTTTTGATTTGGGGGGATATTTTGTACAAAAAGAAACCCACGGGCAGATGTCCGGGGAGAGGCAGAGCTTTCATACTGAATTAGATGTATTTTATGGGAACTTGGTAAATTTTTCTTTGTACTTTTTTTTTTTTTTTTTTTTACATATAACTATATATACACTTAGAGATTGTCGTACACTTTTACCACTTGAATTGATCTTGCCAGCAATAGATCTCGTTTTCAAAAGCAATCCTTCGGTGCTTGTGTAGCTGGCATAAAGTTCTTCCCCCCAAAATGCAGGGTGGAACTTTCCTGGGACAGCAGACCCATTTTAAAGGTGTGGTACCTTCCGAAGCCTGGTTCAAATTGACACGAACAGCAGGGAGAGGACCCCACTAGCTGGCCAGACCCCCTGGGGCCTGGGGAAAGAAGGGCGGTGGGAGATGCCTCTCTACACTTGTCTTAGCCAAGAAGAGAGATGCCAAAATGATGAACCATGCCTGCCAACAAAGGGGCTGACTTGAAGCCAGCAGGTGAATCTCAGTCTGATGCTAAGCAGTAGACTCCACTGCACCAGGAGCAACCCCACCTTTTATTTTGAGATCTTGAGGGCAGGTAGGGAGCTGGACCCTCAGAACTGAGAGGGAGCCGTGCGAGGTCCGAGAGTGCTGGTAGCTGGCCACTGGGTTTGCAGCCCTCGGGGGTACTGCTCAGCCCGAGTCTTCGAGCATCTGGCCCAGTGGGCAGTGGTGTCAGGGCTTCCAGACCTCACAGAGGGGTCTGCTGGATCTGAGTACGGTGGTGTCAGGTTCTGGCCACCTTCTCCCCCCGCCCCTCCAGGCCTCTCAGCGGCCTGTTGGAGGGAAATGTTGCACTTGTTGAGGGCCGAGGGCTAAGCAGTGGGCCCGAGGATGTGTCCCGAGTCCCCAAGGTCCCGGCATCCCTGAGGGGTGCTTTTCTTTCCTCATTCTCCATCCTCACCTTGGTCCTCATCTCCCAGAGCCTGGGAAGCTCCTGGCGAGTTCCTGTGGAAGGTCCCAGGACAGGGTCACCCTAGCTCCTAGCAGGGAGTGCCAAGGGCATCCTTGGAGGTTCACCAAGTCCTGGATTCTGGTGAAGGGTTCCCGAAGTTCAGGTCAGGCACTAATGCCAGCCTTGGGGTGACCTGGGAAATGATAAAACTCTTCACTTCAGAAACCCTGCAATGGCTGGTGTCAGATATTAAGTATGTGGGCATGAGGGAGAGGAGGTAGTGGACCATTTTCTAGAAGGTTGGGATTGTTCACGGGGGCTGTCACCCCAAGACCCCTTATGTAGAGCGGTGTTCCTTTCTGAACCAGGAGAGAAGGTGCCCCGCTTTTAAAATCTTGAGTACTATAGACACATACCCCCAGTCCCCACTTGGACCTAAACTGTGCCATTGAAACAGTCACTTCCAAGTTCAGAGTCTAAACTAAACCAAAACGTTGTCACGCACAAAAGGCAGTGACTGCCTGGGGGGTGTGGGCTCTCTGAATCCTGAAACCCCCTCCGCAAGTTCCGGAGCGGGGAGGAGCCTTTGGGGTTCCCCCTCCCTAGGGGCAGAGGCCATTCTGAACCTCTTGTCTTTGGCAAGCACCCCATTTCACTGTTTCCAAAGCATATACTCTGCCAAACACCCGAGCCTACTCCAAACTGGTAGCAGTTCTGACGTGTTCCCTCTTAGGTGTTTATGGTTGCCGCTGAGTCTGATTTGATCTGTTGAGGTTTTTTCCCCCCTAATTTTACCGAGTAGCAATGTGACCTGTTTTCCCTCGTCTTATGGGACTTTAGCAAACTAACCACTGTCGATGACTGGGGTAGGCGAGGGGTGAGGGCAAGGGTGCTTGGTGAGCTGTGGCTGCCTGGGCATCAGGGGTCACGCAGGCTACACCATCCACCCTGCTGGGGCTCAGACCCCAGGTGGAAGACCCTGCACTTCGGGTTTGTAGGCAAAGGGCAACATTCTGGACGTGGCCCATGGAAGGCGTCTTCTTCTAAGATTTCCAGACCAAATTCTAGACCAAAGACAAATGCAGACCAAGTCCCCAGGCTCCACCTGGAGGAGGGTCAGCCACTGTCCCCAAGCCTGCGCCTCCATAGTCTCCGGGGCACCTGTCTCCTATCGCTACCCTCCCATGTGAGCTCCCTGCTCTTGTGCATCCGCAGAACCCGGCTCTGGGTGCCATGCGTCTCGAAGCCCGCCTGAGTGTCACCACGTAAAAGAAGGAGTATGCACGCCCTGCGTGTCCCGGGAGTTGCAATGCCCACCCACAGTCCCGTCAGCCAGATCAGGCAGGGAGGTGCAGAAAGGGTTTGTAGGGCCCCCAGGGGAACCCAGCCCCCAGGGATCAGGAGAGCAGTACCTCGATCTCTGACTGTCCTCAGGCCATTTGGACTCTAGGCTGTGGCTCAGTGGGACAAGTGACAGCCTCTGGGAAAAGTCAACCCCCTTTCGCCCTGGCCTGCCCAGGACCCCTGCAGCTTTCTCCGAGCTCCTTTGGTGAGATCCATGACACCTGAGGAAGCTGAGGTTCAAAGGAGCCTCTTGGTGTGCCACAGGCCAGGCCCTTAATCCAGGCTCATGTAGCCGGAGGCCATGTGGGGAATTCCAGGTGCCTTCTGGAAATCCCTTTGGACAATGTACACCTCTCTGTACTTCTGGCCCCCATTCTTGTCCTGGACCCCCAGCATTCCCCCAGAGACAGGGAGGAGCCCTAGGGAGCTGCAGCCCCCCCCCCCCCTTGCCCTAGTACTAGGCATCTCAAGGCAGTGGTCTGGCCAGCACCCCCACTCCGCCCTTCTACAGGAGCCGCTCTGGGCAGCCAATGCTGATGCCGCCGACTAGGCAGGAAAGGACCCAGGAGAACCCCTTGCAGGCCACCAGTTGCCCACCCAGCCCTCAAACCCAAGGTCAGGCAGCCCCAGGCCTGGCTGGCCTGATATGCTGTCATACCACTGTGCAGAGCCCCAGGCCACACAAACCTGGGCAGCAGGGCAGGAGAGGGTGCGGGCCCTCACCCCCCACCCATGCCTGGCCCTAAGTGTGTTCCCTTTGCTGGGGAGCCTGTGTCATTGCTCTCATGTGGGTGTCACTGCTGGCGTGTCCTGGCATGGTCCCTGAGGGATGGGGCATCTTGTTATAGATTTGGTTTCAAATTGGGATGTTGGCTCCATTTTTTCTTTTTTTTTACCCAATTAATTTTCAAATCCCAAGCAACTGTGACTCTGTATTTAGCACAAAGGAAAGCTGAGAAATGTGGGTCTTGCCTCCTTCCAGAAATGTCTGGCTCATCAGGACTTTTTTTTTAAACTTCAAAATATTTTTAAGATATTTTAAACTTTTGTAAAAAAAAAAAAAATCAACCAACAAGAGACTCTTCTGAGGAGGAACATTTGTATTTGATAAGATCTTTGGTGTGTAATCAGTCTTGCAGTATCCAAGCTTTTGTGTATAAATGTTTTATGACATGAATCCCTGTATTTTGCAGGGCTTTTCTTTTGCTTTTTAGATAAATACGTATATCAAAATATTTTAAATTCATCTTTGCTTTTTTTTTAGAGGAGTTTGTAATCACCCTTCAACATGAAAATAAACATTTCCTTTTTAAAATCCAAAAGGCTGCAGTATGTCTTGGTGAGGCTGTTTTCCTCACGTTTGGCCAGCACTTCAGTTTGTAAAGTGTGTGCCCGGTACCCGCCAGGATGCTCCAGGTGCATCGAGCTGGGGCCGCCTGATGAGGACGGGTGGTTTGCTCCAGGGCACACGCAAGTGTTGGCGAGGTCTCATTGGCATCGGGCTCCTGGGTCTGCTCACGCTGGCTCTGCCCCTTGTGCCCGTCGGGGCCTACCCGCTACACGCCCACTGCTGAGCTGCCTGGATAAAGCGCCACCCCTTCAAGGCTGTGGGTGATTAGAAGCCACATCACCTACCAGGTCCTGTTCCCCCCACCCCCCGCCGGAAGAGGGTGGGAGGAGCCGCCAACCAGAGGTCACAGGTGCGTTCAGTTACCAGCTGATCCTCTAGGGCAGGTGGGCTGGGGGTGGTCAGCCCCGGAAGGGTAGAAAGAAGGATGATGCCAGGTCTCTATGCCCTCAGAAGGGAGGTCGCTCAGGACCCAGATGGTCCCGCCATAGATACCGTCAAGCTTGGGCATTATGCCCCCAGCCTCTGATAGAGACAGGGAAGCTGAGGCCAGGCTCCACAGCGGCTTGATATGTAGGCGTTCCTCCTGCCTGCTGGCCCCCACCACACGGGTAGGCAGGGCCAGGGCAGCCTGCTGGGTTCTTTCCCCAGCTTCCTAGACCAAACTGCACCTCGATAGCTGGTAGAATAAAATCTCAACCCCCTTTCTTCCTTTCTGATGGCCTCTGCCTGTCTCTCCCTCCCCCTGTCTTAGCCATATGCTTGTGTTCAAATTCTGGTTCTATCCCTCGCTCTCTGTGACCTTGAGCAAGTTATGTAACCTGTCTGGGCCTCATTTGCTCTTTAATGTTGGGGTGAAAATAGAGCCACCTCTTAAGGCTGTTGGGAGGATCCAGGAAGGCACAACAGTGGCTGGCACACGGCCCGGCCGCTGGGCAGGGCTGCCTGTCTTAGGTCTGCGTGGCCAGCCGACCGCTCCCCATTTCTGAAATGCCCAGGACCATCACCCAGCACTTGGGAGAGCAGGGTCCCCTGGACAGCCTCAACCCTGGTGTACCTGGTCCAGCCAAATAAAGGTGCCTGGTGCCATCTCGTCCGTCCCCTCTGAGGGTTCCCACTGCAGCCTCCATGTCCGCACAGCTGCGGCTTCCTGCAGGCCTCGCCTGGACTCTGGCTCTCCACGGCCACCCTGGGGAGACCCTGTCCCCCAGGCTGAAGGGGCTCTGGGCAGCGGCCCGTCACTCACCTGCCTTAGTGACTTTCCCCGCCTAGGCAGGATGTTATCAGGGGGCCCTGTGATCTCCAACCCCACTCTCCTTCCAGGCCCCTTCCCACTTCAGCGCCTTTGCACTGGCTGTACCCGCTGCTTGAGATGCTCTTCTACATCTCCACAGGGCTACTTCTAACAGGTACTTAAGGGCTCGCACAAATGTCACCCCTTCCTGACCCCCAAACCCTGTCACCACCCCATTACTCTGGCCTTCTTCATTGCACTTTATACCTTCTGAAAGATTTCCTTAGGATTTGCTAGAATGATGTGTAGTAGCAGCAGACTTAGGAGTGATGGAAACACAAGTTAAAGCAGATGAGTGGTCATAGGGTCAAACAGCTGCTGCTTGCCAGCCCGTGATTAAGAAAGAAAAGAAAAAAAGCAGCTGATATCTACTCCAGGTGCATTTAGATAATTTTATTTTAAAAAATTACCCCAACAGCCCCCACCCTCAGCTCCCAAGTCTTTGCAAGCCCTGGTGGGAGAGGTGTACACGTGGGCCCCACGCTGACCCCAAATGGCCTTTGTAGTGCAGCCCCTGGGCATGTTGTGCTTCCCAGAGCCCTAAGAAAACCCCATAGAAAAATACTTTACAAGGAATATGCTCTAATCTCAGCCAGAGAAAAATACAGCTTTTAGGGGGTAGACGGGGCACGTCGCAGGGGCTGTACCCAAAATGCATAGGCAGGCAGGACACTCACTGGGGACAAGGGGTCGGGAAATGTCAAGTGTGGGAGGAAGAATCCCCATGAGAAGCCAGAAATATTGCATATGAGAAGGCGGCCTTAGGCCTGGTTGCATACGTTGTGGGGGAGGGGGAATGGCAGAGGCCGCAGCCTGAGGAGGGAGGGTAGCGTTGGGTCTGGGTCAGGAAGCATCTTCTCACCTGCTGCCTGCCCTCAAGGCTGTTTTCCCATGTACAGAGGCCCTGGGAGTGGGTCTCACTGGACAGGCACAGCAAGTCTGGGCCACTCGCCAAAAGTTGCACAGTTAAGGCCTCCCCCAAGCCAAGGGGGTGGCTCTTGCTTGGTGCCCCTGTTGTGGGTGGGCAGTGCCCCTTTACCCGGGGCAGATATTACATAGGAGTCCAAGAGACAGACACACCAGCAGTCCAGCCAAGCTTAGGAGGTTCTCCAGCAGATGGGCGGACGGGCAGGGAGGCAGGCCCAGGGGTGCCAGCAGGGTGCTGAGGGGCCTTAGCAAGCCGAGGTGGTTCCAGCTGTGACAAGGAGCCTCAAAGACTGCCCATTCCTTGATTGTCCAAAGGGATTCTGACTCCGAGGGATCACACAGCAACCGAGCAGCAAACCAGGGCAAAAGGAACTGGTCCCTTGAGTGGAAGAGCACTCCCCTCCAGGGGACACGGATGCAGTGGGGGTGGGTGCCCTCTGTTTTCCTGGGAACCCTGTTAAGAGTTGGGTGGGGCCGGCAAATCCCCAGACCTGGCCAAATGCCACCTGACCTCGTTCCAGGGCCACAGCCCAGCCACCAGGTGGAGGCACTGAGCCCTTCTCAAAATCAAAGGGGTTCTGGCCTGTGGGAATGAGAACGCAATGCTAAGGGGTGCAGGTGCGTCCAGGTTTCAAGTGAAGCCAGGCTTGGACACTCGCCGCTGGTGTGGGAAGGAAGGGCCTATGTCCGCTGCCTCCCCTCGGTCCCTCCACCCCGCCCCTCTCTCCTCTCTGTGCTGATTCTCCCCACACAGGGGAGCCCCCCCACCCCACATGCCATTTCCATGCTTTCCCATCTCCACTGATGGGAAGGTGAATGAAACCTCCTGGGTCTTTTGTCCCCAAATGACTCCTCCCCAAATGAGGGGCAGGGTCCAGGGGGTGTGCAGAGGGGCCAGTGGCCAAGCATCCAACCAGAGGCTTGAGAGTCCAGAGCAGCCATGGAGCTGCCCAGAGGGTCCAGCACCGCAGGCTCAGCTCATGGCCACTTCAGACAGACACGCCCACAAGAATCACTGACTTTCGGAACCACAGGGATTCAGAAGCCCCAGTTCAGCCTCCTAATCAAGGACCACGAACCATAAACCCCAGAATTCTAGGGGAAAGGAGGCAGCCTTTGACCCATAGGCCCCACAGCCCTTTGGACAGTGCCTCCCCACCCCACCCCCCGCCTCACCCTAAATACTCCCTGTCAGGAAACGAAGCATCAGAGCCCATCCAAGGACTCATCTCTGGATGCCTCACACCTCCTTCCATGACGGTGCCAGGGCATCCGGCTCCTGCCTGTTCCCCTCCCGTGACAGGGAACTCTCCCTGGCAGCCCATTTGCGCACCATAGCTCTGCTGGAGAAGGCGCTCCGTATGCGGAGCTGGGCTCACCCCACACCATACATCCTCTCAAGAAACCGTAGAGGAAACTGGGGCCCACTATTCAGCCCCTCTTCTCCCCGCCGAGTGGCCCATCCTGGCCCGCTGAGTGAGGCAACTCCAGACATCCTTGAGACCGGACATGGAGAAAGATCTAGATGTCACTTCCACTGGGGCAGAGACCTCACTGCCTGGCACCCAGGTCACCCCAGAACTGGGGAGCAGAGACCATATCCCAGCGGTGGCGGCCCAGGGCCTGCCAGACCAGCTGATGGGTGAGTGGGTCGCCACTTCTGCTGGTTCCGGGTCTGGGAGCCGCATCTGCCCCAGATACCCCCGGGGTGTCTGGACCACAGGCTGACTTCAGAGCATCCGGGGGCTGCTGGGGCCTGGTGCTCGTGGGGCTCGGCCACTCTGGGTCAGCGGGTTCCGGCTGACGACCAGCTGCAGGACGTCGCCCGCCTCGGCCAGGAGCGGCACTGCCAGGCAGCAGTCGAAGTCCCGTGTGCGAACGTGGTTGACCTGCAGGGTGCAGCCCAGGGCAGGCCAGTCAGCTCTCCCAGGCGGAAGGTACGCGTCCCACAGTGGAGCCCTGTCCCAGCCCAGACACAGGCCGCACGGGAGCATGCTCAGGAAGCCCTTGCTCACTCATCTTCTCACACCCTTCGGTTAGGTTTGCCCAGAGACAGTCCTTGGGAGGCCCTAATCTCCTGGCCACACCCCTAGCACCCGACTTCCCCCCCTCTTCAACATGAAAGAGTGGCCACGCCTCAGCCTCCCCTCCCCCGCCCCTCCCCACCCTGGTTAATCGTGTGACTTTGCTTTTGTTTCTATTTTACATTGACCTTGTATTTCAAGCCAGGGGGGCCAGATTTTCATTCCTAACTGAGGTGACAAGTTTCCTTTTAACATTTAAAAAAACCCAACTCCATCAAGTTAGAGAAGGTATCTACTCAGTAAATTCAGCACAAATGTGGGAAAAACCACACCGTAGCAGCGGCAAGGGAGAAGTGGCCCAGGTGTCGGGGCCCAGAGGACCCACAGCTGCCCTCTAGTCCCCTACGGTCCAGGTGGCACGTGACTGGTTCTGGCCAATAGGCCACCAGCACCGTGCTAGGCAGCTGCTCTGTTTTCACAGGGAGAAAGCTGGGGCTCAGGACGGAGAACCTATCAGGGCCACTGCCTGGGGCTAGGAAAGGCCACTCCATCCTGGCGCCCCTGCCCACATTACCTGAAGGACCCTGTCAAAGGGCCGGAGGCCCCCATGTTGAGCTGGGCCGTCGGGGCGCACGGTGTGGACGTAGACACCCTTCTCCAGGAGACCATCTGAGACGCTGAACCCAAAGTCATTCCGCAAGGTGTCCTTGTACAGGGTCACCTGGTAACAGAAGAAAGACCCGGGAGCGCTGACTTTTGCCTCCCACAGTAGCCCAAGTCCCTTATTCTGGCCTTGGGACTAGCCCCACCCTCATGCAGCTCGTACCCCCTCACGGGCCTCAGCATCCAGCCCTGGTGCTCGTGCACACAGTGGCTCTTCTGTCCTCGTAGGCCCCTCCGGTCATAGCGCCAGTCAGGACAGAGGCTGGAGGAAGGCTCTTCAGTCCTCCCGCTCCCATCAGGAGACAGCCTGAGGGGTTCCCACCACACTCTGACACTTGCTTGCCTCCCAATTCACCAAAAAGCTGGCTCCAGTCTAGAGCTTCTGGGAGCTACAGGTTAAGAGTTTCATTTTCTCCTCCTGTGTTTAGTTTTTCTATGACGTGACCTTTAGATGGCAGGAGATGCATGTGTGTGTGAGATGGGAGTTCTGGAGAATTCAGCCTACTATAAAAATCTCTTTTCATGATAGAGGAGAATGAAGCCCGGAGCCCAGAGTCTCAAGGCACCAGGACAGGGGTCCTGGCCTCCTGTGGCCGCCCCCACACCCACCTTGTGCATCTCCAAGGGAGTCGGGAGCAGCTCCTGCCTCTCTTCAGGGAAAGCGTGTACCTCCCGGCCCCTGCGCCAGGGCCGGGGGCCAGGCCTGCCTTCGAGGGCCACACTCTGCACGGTGCCCGTCATGATGGATGCCTGTGGGGACACAGCCCGTCACCCAGATGCTCGCTTGCTGGCTGTGCTCCCCGTCAGCATCTTGGGACACATGCCAGCCTCCATGGTCAGAGAGACAGGGAACCCAGTGACATGGCCCCTGCCCTCCTGGGACTCTCGGCCCGAAGGCAGGGAGCAGTGACCACTGGCTCCCACAGTCGGACCGATAATCACTGGCCCTGCACTACTAGCACATCCCCTGTTGGGCTCAGTTGTGAGCACCTCAGATACAGAACTCACACTATTCTCAAAGATTCTCTAAGATGTTACGATCAGGTAAATACTATTATTTCCACCCCCTTCCCCTACCATTTCATAGATGAAGAGACTGAGGTTTACGGAGAGGACGACTTAAGCCCAGAGTCTGGCTCCAGAGTCAGGGCTCTTAACCACGCTGCTACCTCAGCAGCCGCACAACTAAACAAGATCAAACTGTGCGCTTCAGGACTCGTCTGCGGGTTCAAGGCAGGAGCGACACGAGGGGAGCGCTAGGACCCAAGCTGGTCCAGGGGGAGGCAGCAGGGAAGCTTCCCCAGCTGACATCTGAAACCTAAGCAAGTGGAGGGAAGGGAACAGGGCCCCTGGAGGCCAAGGAACAGCAGGGGCCAAGCCTCTGGATGGGTGGAAGAAGAGCCTGCGGCTGGGGTGGGGGTGGGGCTGTGCGCGCCGGCTGGCTGGAGGGGAGGGCTCCATCCCAAAGCGCTGAAGCACCTTGAGCGCCACAGTAAGAAATGTTGACTTTATGCCAGCAGCAACGGGGTGACTAAAGGGCTACGAGGAGCTGGGGCGGGGGCGGGGGTTGGCAAGATCAGAATCATGGACTTAGAAGTGTCTTCTAGCTGCTGGGTGGAGACTGGGCCTCAGTGATGACCATGAAGCCAGGAGGTGGACCAGTTAGGGACCATGTGATTGATTGTCCAAGCAAAAGACGACTGTGGTCTGGACGGGGTGGTGACAGGAAGGAGAAAAGGAGCAGAACTGGGACTTGGGTCCAAGATAAGTGACCTTTGGTGCTGCGGGGTTGGGGGTAGGGAAGGGCAGTCTTGAGGGCAGACACCTGAGCTGGCTGGGAGCAGGTTTGTGCCCTGGAGGGAAACTCATCCACGTTCAGACTGGGAACTCTACAGATGAGAGGGTGTGTGCTGGGCTGGGAGGGTGTACCTGTACACGTGATTGTGTAAATTCTTTCCTCCTGTCTACCCAACACCTGAGTTTCCACGGTTGTTGACACGCGTGGAGGGTTGGCTTTTCTGGAGATCCCCTAAGGGAAGGTGAGCATGAGAACAATTGTCTTGGGGCCTAACTGTTGGGCTGGGGTGGGCACAGGGGGGGAGAATACTGAACAAGGAAGCACAGAGCTAACACAGCTGGCCCTCACCTGCCTGGGCAGCCAGGGGTCCAAAAGGCAAGACCAGACACTCAGAATCCTGGGAAAATAGAATCACTGAAAAATAAAATCAGGGGCTCAGGGGTCCTGGGCTCTTTGACCACTAGAAAAGTAGAATTCTAAAGCTTCCAGTTAAGATGCAGACCGAGTTGCTTCTCCCTCCAAATCTGATGGTAGATCACATTTTTAAAAATCAACCGAGCAAGGAAGAAAGATCCGGTGATAGGCATGAGCAGGTACAGACCCATCTGGCCCAGGGAAACAGACATAAGTTGGGCATTGGGGTACCCATTCAGGGAAAGTGAGTGATATCTCAAAGCAGAAACTGGGAGCACCATTCATTGTGGACCAGGGACTAGGTGTCCGCCTACCAGGCAGGGGCGCAGAAGGACCGGCTGAGCTGGGGAAACCACTTATGAGAAACCCAGAACCTTTCTAGGGCGGCTCCCAGGGCTGGGGCCAGAGCTGCCTGGCACAGAGAGCAGGAGAAACAGTGAGCTGGGACATGCAAGTCAAAATCTGGTCTGGAACCAGTGGAGCTCGAGAGCCCCCGCAAAGACGAAGCACGGCCTCAGCGCTTCAGGGGCACGGAGGCCCCAGCGGCCGGCGGGAGGGCCTGGAGCCACTGACAGCAACTGCACTGGTGAGACGAAGCCCAGCTCTCATGTGGACGTGGCCAACAGACAGAGCCCACAGGCAAGTTCACACCCAGGGAAGTAGAAAAAGAAATATCGTGTACATGCCTGACGGTAACTTTTTTGCGATTGTAACGTAAGTGCTGTGCTGACGTTGTTTTTGATGCTGAGGTGTCCATCTCACCCCCAGTAACCCTGCACAGTCAGAAAGGAGCCAAGCAGCCCCACTCATGAGGTTCCCCTTCTAGAAAGCCCTGCGGGACCTAGACAGCTGACCACTGAGTGACCCATGTAAAGAACACCCAGGCACGCCCAGCGTGCCATGCCACCATGCACGCAGTCACGCTTGCCCCTGCGTGCTCTGTGGGGGAACCCCTGGGGGGACAGGGAGCAGTGCTCGTGCACACACCAGCATGCACGGGGGGGGTGCCCCAGGCGGCCTACAGAGTGGGCAGCCGTACCTCCAGCTCCCTCAGCAGCTCTGACTGACCGCAGGACTCCAGGTCTTCCAGGGCTTCCCCAAACGCGCGCCAGAAGCCCTCCTCGCGGGCGGGGCCAGGGGCTGGGCTGTAACGTAGGAACCAGAGAGCGTCAGCTCCTGGCGGGCAGGTGGGTGGGCAGGCGGGCGGGGGCCTGAGGAGTCTTCGGGGCCTCAGGGCCCAGCGTTGGGCTCAAGGGGCCATTGGGCAGGTGGGCGGGCAGGCAGGCGGGCGTCCTCGGTGGCAGTGCTGGGGCCCCAGGGCAGTGGTTGGTGACACGGAATGGGGGAAAGACGCAGTTAGGGGCGACCAGGACTGTCGGTGGCCAGTTAGAACAGGGGCAGATGAGACGGGGTGGAGAGCGATGACACAGGACGCCTAGGAAGAGAGACAGACGGACGGACGACAGACAGACAGACAGAGAGGAGAACCATGGTGTAGCCCCAGAGGACGGCCCCTGGCCCCACCCAGACACATGGCATCATAGGACAGTGACAGGGACAGCTGGAACTGGCAAGGACACAGATGAATGGAGAGGGTGGGATATTCATGCTGGGGACGGGGCCAAGACCCGTATGTCGTCCATCCCAGTGTGGAGTCTCACTGGACGGCAACAAGTCAGCTTCACTCATCACATGGCCGTCTGCCACCTCCCACGGCCTGGTCATTTATGGAGTATGCTTGGTTCGGACAAGGCTCTCCTCTCCTAGGGAGCCGGGGGTGAGGGTGTGAGCAGCTGCCTCCTTCCCTTCCCATTTTACAGATGAGAAGACAGAGGCTAAAGGCCATTTACTTCATTCAGCTCAGCTCTGCAAACTGGTCAGGCCCGCCCCAGGGCCTGGATCTCAGGCAGGGGCTGGTGGGGGGTGGGGGTGGGCCTGGAATCTGACAGAGCCCCTGCTGGGAAGGAGCTGGAGAGTCACTCACAAGCATGTGCAAGCACCCGCTGTGTGCCAGGCCCTGAGCTGGGTCTGCTAAGTGGAGGAGACAACGGCCAGGCCAATACCCAGGCAGGTGCAAGGTGGCCCGAGCCCCTGGGAGGTTCAGGCCGGCAGACGGAAAGGGTGGGAAAGCCCTCTGCCTGAGGTAGGTGGGAAAGCTCCCCAGAGGCAGGGGATCTGAGCAGTGCTGGCAACGACCAGCAGCGCGGCCAGGAGAGGAGAGAGAAAGGCATTCTGGGCAGGAGGAACAGCCTGGTCAAAAGCACAGACGTGGCTGGACCAGAGGGCACACATTCCCCTGAGAGCCTGCTCTCCGCGGGAGCCTTTTCCAGGGGCAAGGCTGAGTCCCTCAAGGCTGATGCTGCAAACACCAGCAGGTCCACAGCCCAAGGCGGTGCTTGTCACCCCAAGGCCTTTAGTGATCTGGGCTAAGGCAGGAGAGTTTGGGTTCCAGTTCTGAGTCGGCCCTTCTGGGAACGGAGGTCATCGGACTTGGCACCTCTGCCCCTGCCATGCCCCGCACCATGCAGGCCCCTTCCCAGTCCTGGCGGCTCGAAGGGCTCCACCCGACTCTCCTCTCGCAGGAGCTGCGCCTCCTGCAGGCTAGACCAGACTCCTCCACAGCCACCCTCACCCATCCTAGCCGAGAGACCAGGCCTGTCTCCTCCTTCTTGGCGCCCCCACCACAGACCTAGTCGGTGGCGCCCAATCCTCCTCCTCCTCCTCAGGGAAGCTCTCATCAGCAGGCGCTGGCGTGTAGCTCGTCCTCCGGGGCTCTGTGGGTGGGGGGCTGCTTCTCAGCCTGCTGGGTCTCCACTCGTGGGAGGTCAGGCCCCGGGGCGCCGTCTGGGGAGTGTAGGAACCTGGCGGGCCGAGAGAGGCATCATCTACATGCTCGTAGCATCCTCAGCTTGCCCTCCTTCCTGCCCCATTTCCAGCTATGCTAGGTGACCCCAGACAGGTCTGGGGGCCTGCATGATTTTACCCAGAGGCTCCAAGGGCACCCATGTCCCTAACCCAGATTCCCCCAGATTTCCTAATCATCCAGCAGCAAGTGTAAATGTGGGCATCTCTGGGACCCTGGCCCAGTTCCACTGGGGTGGGCCTGACCAAGCCCAAATGAGGGAGACAGATTTCTGCCCTTGCCTCTGGCCCACCTTGAGAGCCTGAGGGTCCAGGGGGTGAGTCTGCAGGGGCTAACCTAGTGCTCCCAATGGGGACCAGACCCAGGGTGGGAAGACATCCAGCGAGTAGAAACCTGGGCTCGGGTTTACTGAGGTCACCTAGAGGCCTCGCTCCTCTTGTTCTTCGGAACCCCTGGGATTCAGAAGCCCCAGGTCACCCAAGGGCCTCAACATGCTTAAACAGGGGAATGTCTGTCTAGGACGGTGCCTGGGGGGTGTCCCTCCCCCTCTGGGTCGTGTAGAATGGGAGGGAGGGCCTTCTGCCTCTCTGTCCTCTACTGGATGGGTGGACATGCACTGAGCCACTGAGCACCTGGGTGTGCTAGGCATGGGGCTAGGAATGAGGAGAAAGTAGAAGTCAGCCTGGACCCTGGCCTTATGGTGGGAACTGAATAGCCAGCACGGTGCGGAGCCCTGTGGTCCTGCTCCCAGGAGCCAGGGGCCCCGACAGTGGCCAAGAGGCCCAGTCAAGTCTGCATTCAAGAAGAGTCCCTGAAGGACAGAGCTGGGAGAGGAGGAGGAAGACAGACGAAGCAGCGGGGACCCCTGCAAAGGCCTGGCAGGTGGGGTGATCCAGAAAAGCATGTTGCTTGTCTGAGGGCCCCGAGGCATCACCTGGGCCCCCAAAGCCAGCCTCCGTGGCCGAGCTGTCCCAGGATTCCACGGCGCTGTCCACACTGGGCACAGCGGGCGAGAAGCGGGCCGCCAGCAGACCTCCTTTGAGTGCCTCTGGTGGGTCCTCATCTGCATCACTGGCCTCGCTCAGGCTGCCCGACTTGAGGGGTGGGAGGGGGCCTGAGAGGGGAAGGGGATATCACTGCCATGGGATTCTGACCTCAGAGCCATAGAGACCTTTGATGAAGCCTCAGTTTCCCCACTGGTTTGGGAAGTCACGGGACCCCTGCCCCGCCCCCAAGCCTGCTGCTGGGTAACCTGCCACATGGGAGATGGCACACCAACAGCAGATGGGAGAACTGAGACTTGGGGGCTGAATAGACTCCAGATAAAGAGGAGGACCCCAAAACTTAAGCTTCTTCCATCGCACATGGTATCGTCCTACCACGGCATGGGGCACAACTTCAGGGGAAACTGAGGAATGCACAGGCACAACACACAAGAGACAGGTGATAAAGAGCATGGTCCAGACCAGACTGCTCCATGCCAGCTGGGCAACCCTGGGCCCATCACGCCCCTCTTTGAGTCTTGTCTCCTCAGCTGTTCCACATTTCCTCCCAACTCCATAGAAGTTATCGAGGATTCCATGAGATGGGCAAATGCAAAACCTGGCACAGAGGACTCTCCCTTCCTAAATGGGTTGAATGGCCCAGGACATGGGGTGAGGCTCACGGTCTAGTTGTTTCTTGATCTTCAGTGTGACAGTCTCGCCAGCCACCTGCAGCAGGTGGATGGCTTCACTCAGTGGCCGGCCCTTTAGGCTAACACTGTTGATGGCGAGAATGCGGTCCCCAACATGGATAGCGCCTGTCCTGGGGAGGGGGCACAGGGTATGGGATGAGAGTTAGAAACACAGAGCATATGAATTGGGGGATCTGCCATCAGGGAACTTGGGAACTCCAAGGTACAAGCCTGGCTGACCCAGTTAAACCTAGTTGCAAAAAAAAAAAAAAAAAGTAATTGTGATCTTGGGTTGCATTAATAGAGGTATAACATGTATAATCTGGGGGAAAATTATCCCATCTTACTCAAAATTAAGTTCTAGAATGAGTTTCCAGCATGAGTTCTGTGCATGAATTTAATCCCATGAAGTAGATGCCAAATACTAGCTATGTGATTTGGGGCTAGTTGCTTAACTTCCCTGAGTTTCACTTCCTTTTTCTATAAAATGGGGACTGAAGACTTATTTTATCAAATTACAATTGAAGGATAGATGGCTGGAATGGATTCATGCTTCCTTCCAGCAGTTCATGGGGTAGCATTTCTCTTTCCCTGGACCTCAGTTTCATCACCTAGAGGAAGAGCATAATCCCCAGGGCCCAGCTGACCTGACAAAGGGTGGTGGGGGCCACCGCCTGACAAGGCCAGGAAGCAGCACTGCTCTGGCCCAGTGGTCTCCTACCTGGAACTATCTGAGGTACTTTTTAGAAAATGCAGATTCCTGGCCCCCACCCCTTACTTATGAATGGTATCTCTGGGGATGAGTGGGGCTAGGGAAATAATTCCCAGCAGCAGGCATGATGAAGGTGAGAGAAGCTGTAGTGGGTACTGGGAATGCACCTGACCTGGATGGGGAAATTTGCACCCCAATGTCCAGGTCATTCCCAGAAGAGCCTTCATTGGGTCCATCCCCAGATTGCCTCATGCCTAGCAAGCTCCTGAGAGCCGGGAACTGAGTGAGGGAGGGAATGTTGGCCTCAGGGAGTGGGCAGCGCTGGCTGTCCAGAACAACAGCCACAGCCGCACCGAGGACTGGGCCCCTGGAATGTGCTGAAGCGAACTGAGATGTGCTGAAAGTCTAAAATAAACAACGGATTCTGAAGACTGAGTAAGAAGAAAAGAATGTAAAATATTTCATTAATAATTTTTATATTGATTTCATGTTGAAATAAGCATATAATTTAGGATCCATTATTTGTCTCTTAATTTTTCCAAGGAGGGCTAATAGAAAGCGAATCATTCAATTGTGGCTCACATTAATTATATTACAGCTGGACAGCACCAGCTGGGGAAGGGACTGCCTGTCGTGTCCCCACCACCCAGAAGAGGCGGTACCGGGTGAAAGTGGGAACTGAGGAAGACGACACTGGAGGTCAGAACCGTGCCCACGGTCCCTGCAATCTGCCAGGTGCCCAGCAGGGGGCGCTCCAGGAGCGGGCCCATCACCAGGGAGCCTCAGCCTCTGAATGCCTCCTGCTCCACCCCACCAAGCTGTGTCCCTCCTGAGCTGTGTCCTCCTCCAGGGCCTGTTCTGCCCCCTGGCCTGGCCAGGCTCCCCACTTGCAGCAGGAGAGCTCAGCACAGGTTTCAGGAGAGCTGTCTCACCCACACTGGGGTTGCTTCTCTGGGGCCCTCGTGTGGACTCTTTTCACCTCTGGGGCCCAGATCTATCTGCCCACGTTTATTCCCTAATCCAGTCTGGGACAGTCTTCTCACAGCTCCCTTTGTTGCCAGTTTTGGAGACCATCCCCATAAGAAGAGGACAGCAGGGGCAGCCCCCACCCCCAGGAAATACCCCGCACTATGCAGACCCAGCATTGCCTGTGTGAAGCCACCCAGCAGATGCTTCAAAAAGGCCCACAAGGTAACTTTCCAGAAATCTCCAGGTTGAGAGGGAGCCGAGGAGTTAGTATACATTTATCCAGCAGTTATGTGGAGCCAGGAGGTCTGCTGGGAGCTGCCCTTCTCCGGCTGCTGTGAAACTGAGTTGAGGGAAGGGACAGGCCGACGTCACCCAGAGTATCAATGTCAGAACAAAGATCAGAATCCAGTTGGGCTGATCCCAAAGCCAGCTGCTGCCCCACAGGAGTCCTGTGCCTACCCTGTGTGTCCCCACAGAGCCCCCGCTCACCTCTCAGCCAGACCGCGCTTGGTGAGCCCTGAAATGACAATGGGATCAAATGGCTCTTCTGTGCCTGAGATGGTGATGCCCAGTGGGCCCCCGTAGCGCTTCAGCTCCACCGTGTAGCTGATGGCACCCGTGGTCTCCTGTTCATCTGCAAAGTGGCACCCGTCAGGGGCAGCGTCCCAGGGGCCAGGCCCCCTGAGCCCTGGTGTGCTGACTCACATTCATCATCATTCATTCATTCACTCATTCACTCCTGCCGCACGTGAACCAACCAACATTTAAAAATATAATTTTCACAGACCATACAGAAAAACGTGATGGTGATGATAACAATTATAAGAAGAAACCAGATTTCCAGCTTTCCAAAAAAAATAAACAAGAATCTGTCCACAAGCGACCCTTTTTTCAGGGAAGAAGTTGGCTGCTCAGCTCCTCTGAAAAGGGATTCACTCTCCGTTAGCCACAGTCCTTACCCCTCCTATTGGCTCCCCAGTTTGCACCATTTTCTTACTTTCTGTCCAGTATAATCACTATGTCATTTGACCTCAAAGGTGTCTGAGTTTGCAGCCTATGTTGACTCACTCATACAGCCATGCGGTAGTGCACCCTTCTTCCCCTCAACGCCCACCCACTCATCTGCTCTCAGTTGCCCCTTGTGGGTCTCCTTCACCAGGCTTTGTGCCGGGCATGTAGGTTCCAAGCAGTGGCTCAAATCCCCACAGACCTCCCAAGGGCCCTGGGGGGCCTCAGATGCCAGGGACAGTGGGCGGCCCCTCCCTGTCCATCTACCTCCCTCCTTCTAGGCCAGAGGGAGCCCAAATTGCAAGTTGGCAGGCTGCGGGCCCAGAGGGTGGACCTCGAGAGGTGGCAGTGCAGGTGAGGGCCGCACCAGAGTTGTCCTCGTCCTTCCGGATCTTTAGCTTCACCAGGTCCTCGCATTGCCGCAGGATCTGCACAGCGTCCTCCATGGGACAATTGTCCAAGCGGATATTGTCGATGGCCAGCAGCTTGTCACCTGGCTCAAGGGTTCCAGTCCTGCGGGAGCAGAGGTGGGGAACAGAAAGGCGCCTGGCACATGCAGGCACCACCCACACCCACACCCACCCCACTGCAGCCTCCCCAACCCTGTGCCCAGGGCCCCCTACCTGTGGGCTACACTGCCTTTCTTGATGTCAGAGATGATCAGAGGCTCCCCTCGCTTTCTGCTGGCCGCTGGAAGGAGAGAGGCCATGAACCTGTCCTTTGATGGCCCCAGCCTCGGGGGGCCCAGGAGACAGGAGATGGACTGGGGGCCCCACACCCTGCTCCACTGCTTCCTGGCTGGTGGCCAGAGAAAATTCGCTCACCGACCTGTGCCTCAGTTTCCCCTCTGTAGCATGGGGTGACACTGTAGACCTCGTGAGGAAGTCATGACATTAAACTAGATGGCACGGGCTGAAGCCTCGTCCCGCTCCTGGCGCACAGTAGGTACTCAATCCACATCAGCCCTTTTCTCCCCCTGTGCAGCCCCCGCCCCAGCAAACCTGTGAGCTCCGTGAGGGACTGTCTGGCTGGTGTCTATGTCCAGCACCCGGCCCGAACTGAGCAACCCTCCCACACCCAGTTCTTCCTCCAGTCACGGGGGTGCTGGCGCTGCCCCTCTCTGGCCTCGACCAACAAAACAGCAACACCCCTCCTGGCGCTGGTCCACCAGCAGCTGGCACATGTGGTGGGAGGCCTGGCTTCCCGCTTCAGCTCAGGGCCACCTCCAGGGCCCCCAGCTCTGGAGCTCTCGATGGGCTGAACCCGCAGCTGAACCCACACGGTAGAGGCCAGCACCTCCCTCCGCCCCGACCTGCAGCCCTCGCCGCTCACAGCCATAGGAGGGGGCGGGAGGCTCCTGTGCTCAGTCTTCTGCCTTTCTTCTCTCACCCTTGCTTTCCTTTCTTTGACCAAGATGAATTAGGCACCTACTGTGTCCCAGGCCTCTTTGGGCCCCCAGAACGCAGAGGTAGACAGCAAGCCCAGTGTGGCCATGTGTCTGTACCTTACACACCACTTACCTCCCCCGGGAGGCCCCAATGGCCAGGGAACTACGATGTACAAAACGGGAAACTGAGGCTTCGAGGCTCGGATCTTGCCCTAGAACACACTACTGGGCGTTGCAGGGGGGACGGGACAGGGCCACCCGCTGCCCCCCAGCGCCTTGCCCCTGGCCAGGTCGTGTGCCGCTGCTGTGGAAATGCTGGGGGACCCTCCGCAGGGGGCGCTCGAGGACGGGGTGGGGCAGCTGCGGCGAGGGACTCACAGCTGATGGTGATGCCCAGCTCCACACCGCGCCTCTTGGGCAGCTTCACGTGGAAGGTGCCGCTGCTCGGGATGACGGACTCTGGGCACAGACAGACGCAGACCAGGTGAGTCCCGGGAGACACCACACCTATCTGGTCCCGACGGGGACCCTAAGGAGTCACCCCCCCCCACATCCTGCTTCTCCCACCTACAGAAGAGGAAACTGAGGCCAGATTTCCCCAAGACAATCCGCCCTCTGGGTCAGCGCAGAGCAAGGACTGGATCGCACCTCACAACTGCCAGCTGTTGGGAGGGGGTTCCAGGGTGCCCTGTAGCCCGGCCCAAGCAGACTGGGTGTGTCCACGGGACTTATCTGACCTGACCCTTGGACTAGAAGGGGGATTCTAGTCACTGCTTTACATTTGGGGAAACTGAGGGTGGGGGAAGAAGTGTCCTGTCACACGGTGTTCCAGTCACAGAGCAGGATTCTAACCCCAGTTGTCGCTGGCGGTTCCTGGCCCCAGGCCTGCAGAGGAGCTTGGGGTCTGTTCAGCTCCCCTCTGCCCCCCAAGAATCCCCCATAACTCTCACCACAGGCGTGTGCTTCCTCCTGGGGGTGCTCCCCTCCCTCCCTCCAGGTGTGGGCACTGTCCCCGGGAGAAGGCTTGGGACCAGGGAATGGGACAGGTGGAGGGGTGCTTGCACCCACAAGGGCAGGACATAGCAGGTAGGGGGCACGGGTCTTGCACTGAGGAGGAAGCGAGGACCATCACTCACCCGCCACATCGAACTCAATCTCCAGCACGACCTTGTGGGCCAGCGCGGCATCCCGCAGCAGCTGGTTGGCTTCCTCCATAGTCCCGTCCTCGGTGGCGATGCCGTTGATGGACAGGACGCGGTCCCCCACCTGCAGCAGCCCACACCTGAGCCCGGCAGCCCGGCGGAGGGAAGAGGCGCCATCACCACCATGGCTCCGGAGGGGGAGCCTCAACCTGGTCCCACCCCCGCCCTCAGGTGTGACTGTGCCCTGGGCCAGTGACAGACCCATAGGTAGTGGCCGCCTGGCCAGGGCTGTGACTCTGCTGGGCCGCTGTTTCTCTGTCTGGTGGAGGGGGCCACGCCTCACAAAACGCCTAGACCACGGTCTCTGCCTGCAGACGGGGCCTCAAGTCTGGGTTGTTTCCCAGCTGCATAGCTCTGGGCAAGTCAAGCCACCTCTCTGAACCCCCACTTTCTCACCTGTCAAATGGGGCTGGTGACGAGCTGAGGTGCCTCAGTGAGGTAGGTTTGTGAAGGGCTCGCCTGACTCATTTCCTTGGCTTCCGGGAGCCCCCTGCACTGGAGGGGAGCGGCCGGGGTGGGCAGAAGGCTCACCCCCTGCACTGGAGAGGGAGGCCGGGGGCGGGCAGCAGGCTCACCTCTGAGCCCCCTGCACGGGAGGGGGGCGGGCAGCAGGCTCACCTCTCGGCAGGGCTGTCGGGCTCGATGAAGCGCACGAGGGGCGGGGACGACAGGGTCTCGGTGGCGAAGATGCCGCCCTGGAGCTGGAGGCCGAAGCCGCTGAGGGGGTCCCCGCAGAGCACGACCTCTGTGGTCTCCGTGTGCACGATCTGCCCGCCCGGTCCCACCGTGCTGGAGGCCAGCGACACTGCGCGGGCGGGCGGGCACTCAGGCGGCTGTCGGAGAGGCCCAGTGCAGAGCCACCCGCCCGGGCGAGGAGCCGGCATCACAGCCACAAAGGGTGGGAAGCCTGACCCGGGGCCACTGTGAGCCCTGGCTCCCTATCTGTCCGAGGGGCTCAGCCAGCCCAAACGTGAGGTGGGGGGAGACCACAGCTTACATGAGCTCTTGTGCTCCCTCCTTCGCTGCCTCCTCCGCCCCATGGTGGTGCGGGGGCTCATGGGCTGGGGTCCGCGGGGAAGGGTGCTGGGGTTGGTGCAGGGAAAGGCGTGGTTCATGGTCGGCGAGGAAAAGGGAGTCGAAGACAAGGCTGGGAAGACGAGAGCACAGCCCTGTGAACCCCAGCTGGGCCCCTCCTCCCTGCCACAGGGTAGGTGCCAAGAAGATCCGCAACCACAGACAACGGGATGCTCCCCCTTTCCTCCCCAATCGTCGCCGGCTGAGTCACCTCAGGCAAGTCTCTCCCTCTGGACCCCTGAACTCACAGTGAGAGCCAGCTGCCAGGAACAGGGCCCATCCCGTCTCTGACATGCGAGGTGACACGGGCAGGCCCCCTAATTCCCTGAATCTTGGTTTTCTCCATCATAAAAGAGGCATCAGCCCTCCCAAGCCCCAGGAAAAGGGGAAGGAAACCAGCGAGTGACCGCAGGGCGGGCGCATTACATCGAGTCTGGTCCTGGCCGGCGGGTGTGGCCCAGGTGGGTGTCCTGCAGCGGCCAGGCCGGGGGCTGTGGCAGGAGGGCAGGCAGGGGTCCCAGCGATGAGGCTGCTCGCTCCTCTGCACCTTCACTGTGGTGGCCACATTGGCGGGAGAGAAAGGAGCAGGCGTGAGGGGCTGGCGAATGGGACCCGGTCTCTGCTGGAGGCTGCACACCCCTCTACACGTGTGGCTGGGCTGACTCTGGAGCCAGCACCATGGCCAAACTGCCACTGGCCAGATGTGCAACGGGGGCAAGTCACTAATCCCCTCTGTGCCTCCCAGTCATCTCCCCCCCAGGGAGACAGCGGGCGGGGGCAGCTTAAGTGAAGGCTCTGCCTCCCGACCCCTGGACCACCTGCTCCCTCTGTCCTGGGAACTGACTGGCACCCAGCTCCCTGCCCCAGGTTGGAAGAACCCAACTCACAGTGGGGGCTTCAGGCACTCCCCGATCGCCTGGCTGCATTTTCTGGACCCCCTAGAGCCCCAAACTGAGCCCTGGATCCAAGTTCTAAGTAGCACGGAGCACAGGACTGTCCCCTCCCTCATTCTAGCCCTTACATTTCTATTAATGCAACCAGTGATGGAACTAGGCTTGCAGGCATCTATCCCAGCAGATTGTCAGCTCAAACCTTCAAGTTGTTTCTCTATCCCATCTTCCCCCCTGCTACTCTTTTGAGTTTGAGCTTCCCTGTGGGAATGGATAACCTGCTCAGGGCTTCCGACTTAGGCTTCCGGGGCTCGTATATCCCTCCCTATCAGCCCTCAGGCTTGAACTCGGAGACCCACCAAGGGGACCCACCTGCCTCTGAGGGTTTCAGGGGCCGCCGACTTTGGGGAGAAGGCAGGATCTCCAAGCGCACTTTCTCTGACACACTGGCCAGGAGCTTGGTGGCCTCGAGCATGGAGCAGTGTTCAGTGCTGGTGCCGTCGATGGACAGGATGTGGTCTCCAGCGTGCAAGGCCCCGCTCCTAGCCGGGCACGGGTGTGAAGGGGGAGGCTGGTCTGGCGGAGCAGAGTTCTGGGCTGCCTGTCCCGCCCCCCCACACCCATCTCCCGCCCTCCTAACCGTGGCAGCACCCAGATATGCCTCACCTGTCCACCACACTGGCTGGTTTGATGCGGTCGATGGTGATGACCGGCTTGTTCCGGTGGGAGCCAGAAGCAAGGGAGATGCCCAGGGCGGACCCTGGCGTCTTGGTTATTTCCACTATCAAGGGCCCGGATGCATTGGCCACTGTGTCTGGCATATGGAAGGCGAGAACCACAGTGGTCACTACGAGCCTTCCCCAGCCCAGGAAAGGACACCCCCGTGAATCTATCCAGTGGCTCAAGAACAAAACCTAGCTCCTTCCACTCTGCCCCCCCTACTTCCATGCCCTGCATGTCAGCCAATCAGGCCAGCTCGACCTTCATCAAATTTCCTGATGCCAGGGCATCAAGCGATACCTGGCACACGGTGTTTATTGCCCACAGAGAGGCTACGGACCGGCCCAAGGTCACAGCCTCCACAGTGGTAGATCTGTGCCCGCTCTCCCTGCCTGCCGCCCCAGCCTCCTCCCGGCGCCGTCCGAGCCTCCAGGCCCCCAGCTCACCTGGGATGACCACATCGTACTCCACCTGGAAGAGGGCCTCGTGGCTGCACTGCCGCAGGGTGGCCAGGGCCGCGGTGTGGCTGGCCCCATGCAGCGGGATCCCGTCCACGCTGAGCAGCCTGTCACCCACCTTCAAGGAGCCCTCCCTGCCAGGAAGGACCTGGTCAGCCGCCTGGCCCAGCGTGAACACAGCACAGTCCTACCGGCAGGGGCCCCCCGGGGGGCGCCGGGGACAGAGGCATGGGTGTCGAAGAAAGGGGAGCACGGTGAGCGAGGAGACACCCATGAGGGGGAGCAGGATGGGCTGGGAGTGGGCAGCTGGCCCGCTGGAGCATCTCCCTCCTGCCCCACGCGGCGTGTTATAACTCCCTAGTCTCATCTTAACCCTAGGACGGCTGAGCTGGGGGTGCCCTTCGAGGTCGCCTCTTTCCTCCTACCCCCAAGATGGAGGAATGCCAGAGTCCAGAGGGGACGCCAGTCCTGCCAGGGCCACACGGCACCGGGGGGCCTGTCACAGAGCCCTGACCCGGTCTCTCATGGTGATTTGGCCTGGTGGCCTAAGCGTCTATGAAGCGATTCAGCGGGGAATCTTAACGGGGGGCCAAGCTGGGGTTCCCCTAGGTTTGGGTCAAATCCCCATCCTGGAATGTCTGTCCCAACAGGTGGTCCAAGTTATTCTGGGAGATTCTATGAATAGTTTGTCACAGGGCCCTGTCCCAAGGACAGATTTAGATTTCTGACAAGGCCATTCCAGGCTTTTCTTAAAATGGCCAGGAATCTGCCACTGGGGCAGTCAGCGGGCTGGGAACTGGACATATTCCTCTCCCACATTCTCTCCTTCTGACGCTTCTGGGCTGGGCCCTGGCAGGGCCAAGCTAGGCAGTGCAGCTAAGGTTGTGTGTAGGGTGGGGGGGACTCTGAGTTACAGAGGGCCACAGCAGGGCCCTCACACTGCCCCCAAGCCCCTCGAAGCAACACTTAGGGGCTGCAGCACCAAGCCCTTTCCACAGGCAGAGAGACAAACTAAGGAAGGGGAGAGCAAGATGACAGCAGGTTTCCAGCAAACCCCGCGCCCCGGAGACAACAGGAAAAGAGCTTGGGCCATCTGCACTGAGGATGCCCTGAGTGACTCTGGGCTAGGGGTTGCCTCATAGTGCCTCAGTGTGCCCATGAGGCAGAGTACAGCTTCCAGCTCGGCCTCCGCAGGGTAGCGGGGATGTGGAGGCTCCCCTAGGGCAGGCTCACCTGTCTGCAGGGCCGCCGGGGCGCACGTAGGTCAGGACAAGTGGGCGGGACTTGTGCCCGTCTTCATGGGCACCTCCTGGAAAGAATTCAAAAAGAGGTGGGTGCATCTACCTACTCTTTCCCTGATGCCCAGAGGCACGAGCCCAGTCCTAAGAGGCTCCCTTAATTCAGCCTGTTTGAGGACCCAGTCCTTGCTATTTGCAGGCCTTCTAAGGAAACACCATTCGTAAATCTCCCCCAGAGCTGGGGCAAAAAGTATGAACATGATCAAAGTCCTCTCTGCTCAATGACTTGCTTCCCTTCCTGTGATTTCATCCTATTTCCCTTTTTGCCCTGGCTGCTAGGCAGAGCCAAACTTTGGTCTTAATCTCAGTAGCAGATTAGTCAGATTTCACCTCCATTTTCTGATACAACTCTCCCTCTCACTTCCTCCAACCATGCCACTTGATTGCTTGGCAAGTCTTTCCATTTAATACTTGAGTGAGGTTCCTGGCGTCTATAAAGTCAGAATATGATGGGGGCGGGGAGGAGAGAGAGGGTGAGGGAGGGAGAGAGAGGCCCAACACATTCCTTAAAGCAAAACAGAACACATGGAATTATCACTAGCTGCTCTCCCACCCCTGCCCCCCTCTGACTCCAAGGTCAACTCTTACACTGACCTCTGAGGACAAAGCCAAAGCTGTTGCCCTCCTTGTAGAGGGAGACATCCACTGTCTTTGAAATGATCCCTGGGTTGTTCTCAGGGGCTGGGGAGAAATGGAGTGTTCCTTTGAGTCTCTCAATCACATTGCCAAGCCAGCAGACGTCCCCAAAGCTCATTCCAGGACAACTGGGTGGCTGGTCACAGAGACTGCAGGGAGGGCAAACTCCTCCCCCACTTTACAGGTAGGACACGTGAGTCTTAGGAGAACCTCTTCCCTAATGCCCACTTGGTCCAGCACTCAGAGGGGCAAGGCCTGTCCATGCTCATACAGAGACCATGACAGAACTCAAGCTTGAGTCCATGGCTGCTGGGCTCAGGTCTCATGGCTGAATTTCAGACAGTTGCATTTCAAGACTTTAGGCCAACTTTGAAGATTCAGAATTAAGCTAAACCCTAGGTCACTGTACTTATTAGTGCAGGGTGATAGGGAGGGGAGAACAGTAAGACAAATCACCCAGCCAATGTTCCCCAAACCTCCCCAATTAAAGGAAAAGACATCTGGAAATTAAATATGCAACAGGACACTGAGTTCCAAACAGGGTCCTGCCACCTCCTGGTGATAGCGTCCAGCTGTTGTCAGCCAAGTCCCTTGGTGAGGCATGGATGTTTGTGGCCAGTCTCCAAGTATCACCCACCCCAGCTGGCATGATCCCCACCACCTAGACCCTGGTGGGGAGGCAGCTGAATCCACCCACAACCAAGGCAGTGGAGAAAGTTCCCTGTCCAAGGGCACCCACCGGGCGGGGGCAGCTCATACTCCACCTCCAGCACCACGCGCTCGCCCACGTTCTTGAGCAAGGTGATGATCTCATCGTGGCGGAGCCTAGTCAGGTGGATCCCATTCACTGACCGGATGTAGTCACCCACGTTCAGCAGGTCACTCCTAGGAGTGAGGAGGACAGAACCTACATATGGTGCCAGGTGCCAACATACACACCTACTCTCCCCTTAAACCTTTATGATCTCTGGGTCTCCAGTTTACAGATGGAAAAGCTGAGGCTCAGAGAGATCAGCCATTGTCCAGATCACACAGTCAGTGGGTAGCAGAGTATAAATCTAACAGGCTGACACCTGGCCTGGCCGCTCCCCCGGTGCTGGTCTGCTGGTTTTTAACTCCTGCTGGATGTTACCCCCACAGTGACGGCTCTGGTCAGCCCCGGGCGAACACAGAGTGGGCAGCTCACCACCTCCCTTGCTACTCCCTGACCCTCTGCTCGGCTTTCACTGCTAATCCCCACTCTGCTCAACTGGGCATGTGTCAGCGCTGCGCTGTGTGAGACAAAGGGGCACCCATGAGCAGCTCTCTCCCAGGTTTCAGGAACTCAGGACCCCAGGGAGTCACAGACAAAATGGTGGGGGAATCCAGAGCAGTGTGTGAAGCAGCAGTCTTGTGAACAGAGCAGAGTCGTTGCCTCATTCTGGGGCTGGGATGGGGTGTGGGGGCCGGGAGGGATGGGGTGTGGGGGCCAGGAGGGCTATGGGATCACAGAGGCAGTAGGGGGATGCCTCTGTGGGCATCCAAGTGCCACCTGCCCGGCTGGCATGTGGGGGATGAGCAGGAGTTGGACAGGAGGATGCCGCAGGCAGCAGACCTCCTGAATTCGGGGACCGTGTAAGCAAGGCCTGGAGTGGCTGGCAAGCCGGGGGTATCACGCAGGCCGCCCTGCTGTACAGGAAGAAGCTGGCTCCCTGGGAGGCCGTCCCTCTCAGCTCCCATGTTCTTGGAAACAGCTGCCTGACTGCTTTGCTTAAGACCCCAGCCCATTTTCCACTGGCCCTGGGCCCCTCCTGCTGCCCCCACCAAGCCCACTTCTCACCTGGCTGCCAGCCCCCCAGGTCTCAGGTTGGAGACCCTGGGCTTCCCGTCCTTGTCGGTGCCACCGGAGATGGTCAGGCCCAGCGTGCTGCCTTCTTTCTTGATCAGCTCCACCATGGTGACCCCCCGGAACTCCTCTGCTGACAGACGGGGGATCAGGGGGCGGCATGGGGCAAGCTGGACCCCAGCTCCAAGACAACTGAGGCAAATACTTGGTAAGCTGGGCACTTTGCTGCCTTACACTGAGTGAGATCATCTTTGGGCAGCAGAGGATCGGAGAGGTCAAGGAACGGGTCTGAGCCCACAGAGCAAGTTACCAGCAGTCAGGCCCCACCCAGAGCTCCCTGAGCCCCCTCGGGACAAAGAACAGGAAGGACAAGGAAGCATTACCTGGAATGCTCTGTCTGCGGCACGCCAGGGTGACATCGGCCCCACCTGCATCCTTGCCTCCTTTGGAGTAAGGCCCATCGTCTGCAGGTGAGAAGGAGAGAAGGCCTTGAGTTCGCTTTCATTTCCATTTGGGCAAAGCCCTTTTGCTTTGGGAACCTTTCACCTCATAGGTGTAGCCTCTAAGAGGGGTTCCTTCCCGCCACCAGCTCCACCTGAGTGTCTGCTGGGGAGTCCTTGCGGCCGCCCCAGGGAGGCTCTGACTCTGCCCTTGGGGCCATGATGGTCTACGTGATGGTCTACAGAGCACCGGTACAGCCACCTGGGTGTCAGTGAGTAAATATGCAAAGTGTGTACAACTGTTTACAGTAAGTAGATGTTGGATAAATGACACGGAATGACCTAGTGGGATTTTCAACACAAAAATCATGACATCTGACAAGGAGCTTGCATGTAAAATGTATAAAAATTTAGTAACAAGAAAACCACCCAATATAAAAGTGGGCAAAAGTTTTGGACAGACACTTCACCAAAGAAGATAGACAAATATGGGTGACAATAAGGAAAAGTATTCAGCATCATTAGTCATCAGACAGTGGCAAATTAAAACCACAATAAGCTACCTCTACACGTCTATTAGGATGACTAAAATTAAAAAAACAGTCTAACCCGAACTTGTCACCCGGTGGCGAGAAGTGAAGCGTCCAGAGCTCTCTCGCATGGGGAGTGGGTGTGCAAAACAAAGCATCCACTTGGAAAAAACAGTTTGTTTACAAAGTTAATCTGGATCTCACCATATGACCCAGGATCCCAGTCCTGGGTACTGACCCAAGTGACATGGAAACACGTTTAAACAAAAATCCGTGTGCACGTAGTTATTACAGCATTATCCTCAAAAGAGGGGAAAAAAAGTCTTTCAGCAGGTGAATGTCTAGACCTACTGTCTAGACCATCCATACAAAGGAGCCCCATTCAGGAACAACATGGATCAATCCAGAATGACTATGCTAAGGGACAGAAATGAGATTCAAAAGCCAAACTGCCTCATGATCCCATTTACATGGCTTCCTAGGGAAGGCAACATTACATAGAAAGAAAAGAGGTCAGTGCTTGTGGGGGGCCTTGGGACTGGCTACAAAGGGGTAGCAAAGGGGAATCTTCTAGGGTTATGGAAATGTTCTAACACTTGGTTGAGGTGGGGGTTAGGACACATTTCCCAAATATGTGTCCTAACCTGAACTGTCCTAACCAAATCTATATCAGTGCTGAAGTATTTTACAACAAACCCTGGATATAATAAAAATTATACCTATAAACATTTTAGTATTTCTAAAAAAATTTTTTAGCATTTCCTTTAAAAAAGGAACATATATATTACATAGCAAAAAATCCCAAAATCATGCCTTACAAAATTAAAATAATTCCTTCCTTATTAATTTAATCCCCCCATACTCCAAATTCACCCCAATTTCAATGACTTTTTAATTTCAACAAGTACACTTTTGGATTATAAAAGCTCTTTGGTCCTTTTGCTCATTTTCTCATTCTGCTCTTGTATTTTGCTCTGTCCTTTTATTATTGCTTCTCTATCTCTCATAGTTATAGATCTTTTAAATTGATCTACATTATTCTATTTTATATTATCTCAAACTTTTGAAGGGTGTTCCTGCTGTCTGGAATGTCTGATGACCCCTCCCATCCCCGTGGATGGGTTCCCAATGCACTTGCTAACTGTTGGATTGTGAGCTAATCAATCATGTGACTGGATCTGGTTGAGGGCAGGTTCCCCCAGGGCCCAGACAGTTTGTGATCTCTTCCTATGGGTGCCGCCAAGGTACTGCTATACTGACACTGCTGTTTACATTATGTTCCTGGAACTAGGATTCTAAAACCTGGGGGTTGTATAAATGATAACAGAAACATGGAGCCCAATTCAAATTACAGATTCTCAAAGGAGACCCCCTGAGAAGAGGCCTTGCCAAGACAGACAAGCTTTTGTTTAGGCCCCTAATAAACAGGTGGATATTTTCCAAGTCTTCCCCTTTTACTGAGGGCATAGCTCTTGAAAGGCCCTGACTTTATGCTGGGATGTCAGTTCTGACAGGAAAGATGTGGGGCCTCCTCTCCTGTAGCCCTGAGCTATTAAAACCTCAGACCAGCAGATACCCCCATCCTGCCACCAATGCAAGGGAGCCTCAAAATCAGCTTACACTCATCCTGCTGATTCCCATTTTCTCCTCATTTTTTAATGGGAATCCATGGAATTTGCAGATCAATTTGTGGAGAACTGACATTTTTACAATATTGAAACTTCTAATCAATGAACATAGTATATTTCTCTATTAATACGTTTCTTAATTTCCCCCAAGAACGGTGTGTGCTTTCATGGCAAAGGCCTGGCATCTCTTTCATTAAAAGTTTTCCTAGCTAGCTGAAGTGTAAAGCTATTGTAATTAGATTGCTTTTCAAATTTCAGTTCCTAATTATTTGTTGCTGATATATGTTATTACTGGTGATTCTATATTTTGACCTCTAAGACCTATGTACTAATTCATCTGTAGACCCTTTTGTCATCTGTGACACAAACGTTTTCCTTCTACTTTCTTTTTTAAAGATTTATTTATTTATGCATACAAGAACTGCAATACAGGTCAGAGGTGTGTGTGTGGAGGAGAGGATTCACCAGAGACAGAGTAGGGAACAGAACAGGCGGACTGACTGAAATACACTGCTGAGGGGAGCAGCGGGAGAGTCAGGGGAGGTCTGCTGCACCATGTGGGTAGCTCCCTGGCCGGGGATCAAACTTGTGCTGCAAGTGCTACAAGTGACTGCAGATAGCTTCATAGGTTGTGTCTTAACCCCTTGTGCCACCAGGGAGGCCCTCCTTACTTTCTACCTTCATACTCTTTATTTCCTTTCCTTGCTCTATTGTCTTGAACAAACCTTCAGCACAAAATTGGTAGAAGTGGGACGATAGCTTTTCTAGCTTACCCTCTTCTTCCCCTGTGAGTTTCCCTGTGCACCTCCCAGGAGGCTGAGGTCCAAGGTTTGAGGTGACCTGCTCTGTGGTGAGCCAGAGCTGCCCTTGTCTGACACTGGGCGTGCCCTGGATTCCTCTCCTGTCCTAACAGGAGGGTCAGGGGACTCATCGGCCTGTGCTAACCCGCCACACAGTCTCCTTCTACCCTTTACTCTCAGTTGCAGCCTCTGGCCACTCCTCTCCCCAGCCCCCAGCAAGACCAAAGTCACAGGACCCATCTCCCTGCTTATGCAGGCTTGAGAAAGGAGAACCTGAGGAGAATCAGCCCCAGCAGGGGGCAGAAACCCCTTATCCCACCCCATCCTTTCTGTGAGGGGGAGGATGAGATTAGGGGTCAGCCTGAGTCAGGGTCAGCACTCAGCCTGGCCAGGTCACGGCTCACCTTGAAATCAGGGTCAGGGCCCAGCCAGGACCAGGAGCAGGTGCCGGGTGGGTGAAATTGATCAGGCTTTTTTGCTCCATTGGCCTCTGTGGCTATCACCTGCTGCCTTGATCATGTTGATGCACAGGCTGCTTGGGGGCGTGGGCCTGATTGTGTACACCTGGCGCATGGGTGGGTACACATGCGTAAGTGTGCACACCTGAGCCTGGAGGTCAGGGCTGTAAGGGCAGCGTGACTCAGAGATGGGGAATAGCTGCGAGAGGACAACCCGCGTGACTGCAGAAGAGGTAAGACCGTGAGAGAACACCAGAGACAGCCCAGTGAGAGAGAGCTCAAAGATTTGCTGGGGGCTGGGAGGCTTGCCAGCCTTCCCGTCCCCCGGCTCTCCCCTGCTTTGCCCGCCCTGCACCCACTTGCCCCGCAGCAGCAGGGTTCCGTGGATATCAGGGTTCCAGGAGCCGCTTCTCAGCCTCAGCTGTACTGACATTGTTGTTGGATGTTTGACAGACTCCCTGCCCTTTAACCACTAGATGCCAGTAGCACCTCATCTCAGTCTTGACAGCCAAAAAGTCTCCAGACATTGCCGAGAGTTCCCCCAGGGGAGCAAGGTGTCCCCACTGAGAATCACGGCTCTGAGAAGGAGGTCTAGCACGAGGGGGCTGCTGGGCCAGAGGCTGGTTGGAGGCAGGTTCGGCTTGGGTCAGGGATGCAGCACATCCTGCCTAAGGAAGCTTGGGAACCTGACCACCGGGCACTCAAACCACTGAGAAACTACCCTTGTTCCCCCCTCTGCTGTCCCAGGATCCTTTGCTTGCCAGAAGGTGGTAATAACAAATCAAACAGCAGTTAAGCCCAGAATCATTTGCAGGGCCCCTAGAGCCAGGCCCCCAGCAGCCTTGCTCACTCCCTTCTCCCCCAGGCCCCTGGCTCACACCAGCAGCCACCCATTCGGCAACACCCCATTGAGTATAATGCCTCCCATTATGGGTCCCTAATTCGCACTTCATTTAGATTCAACAAGATGTTTCTCAGCTAATAAAATTAAAAAGATGGGGTTTTATCAAGTGTCTGATGCTGAACAGCTCTGGCACTACACGTGCACAATGCTGCAATTAAAATTTGTCTTATCCCATGCAAATTAGGTTCCACCACTAGAAAATCCCTCTCCTGGGCTGTCCTGAGAAGACCAGAGATCAACTTGCTGGCTCCAGGTTTACCAGTCTCACAGAAAGGACCCGAAAACAGGGCCGCATCCACCTAACTCATTACAGGATCCCAAAGAACAGAGGGCAGGACAGCTGAGGGTTAAAGGTGGCGTTTTCAGCTCTAAATCTAGACTGCGGAAGAGTGGCCCCCAAATGCTGGATTCTGAGGCAAAGGGCGGAGGACGATGACTGCAAGGGGAGGGGGTGTTTGGGGGGTGTCTCTATGGTTGCCTCCGACTCCTCACTTTCCTCACCCCAACATTCAGATTTTACTCCAGTGAACTCCATGAAGCCAAATTGGGCCTCAGGGACACGCTGGGCAGTGGGGGGCAGTGGGTTTGTTGGTCTCAACCCCGAGTGGCCCCAACCCTCCCCCACTTCTACAACGTTCTGCTGGTTTTGGGCTCAGACATTTCCCCCAGCTGTTATGTGGGTCTGACTTTGCTGGTAACCAAGA